CACCAAGTCAGGAATTTTCTTCTTCCTGGGGATTCTTTCCTTAAAGTTTGCTACAGGCATTATTTGGTGATTTTTTTTTCACCTCCTTGAGCTCTGTGAGAGCAGGAAAACTCTTCCAGCCAGAGTTACCAGGACTGGAATTCATAGCACAGATGATAGTTTTCTGGTAATTTGACCTGGTATGTGCTGCTTCTGTATTTGCAGCATCGTGCTTCTAATTTATTTATTTTTTAAATATATATAACTTGGAGTTACATATTACTTAGAATGAAAAAAATTGGAATGTTCAGTTTTAATTTTTCACTGTCAGTTGAGACAGTGATGATTGGTCATGTCCAAGTGTGTCTAGATCAGGTAACATTCACATTAGTTGCTCATGAGCATGATTAGGAAAATCGTGGCTATTTTACAAGTGTGTATTAAAATCTTTTAAGGCATGAGTAGCTTCTGTTGCAGTGATCATCCTCAGCAAGAGTGTAGTAGATAGGAAAAATTGTAGTGTATTTTTACATTCACCTAATCTGTTGATGCACTTAAAAAGGCTAAGTGCTTGGCTGCTGGTCCACTGCCAGAGCTAATCTAACACATTTGTGCTCCTGAAGATGTGGCAAGTACTAAGGATGTAATGTGTGAGCAAGTCATGAGCCAGGTTAAAGTCTGTTAACATTGACACAGCCTGGTCCTGCTGAAAATAGTTGCCTGTGTTTGGGCTGACAAGACAAACTATATGATGGTCATATCTAATACTTCAGGGTAGGGTCTTCCTACTGTTTTGGGGGTGGAATGAGAGGATCATAGTGCAAGTTATGAACTTCTCCATAGCCCAATCCAGAGCCTGAGTGTAAATTTTTAATTATTGTGGCTCAGAATAGCTCAAAGCTATTTATAAGATTTCATAAAGCTTGTGCATGAGATGTGTGAATAGAACGTTTTTTGGAGTAGACACTCTTCAATTATGTGGAAGGGTGGGGAAGAATGTGGTCCAGCTCTATTTCTTGAATCACTTGGGAAAATACGGAGGAGTTTGTCACATGTCAGCCGCTGCTGTAGTTCAGACTGTAATTTAGACACCAACCCATATTTTGCACTGATAACTTATGTTTCTGAGAAGTAGTAGGATGATGAAAGGGCTGTGGGTTTATTACTCTGATTTATTACTCTGATTGATCTCTGCTTCAAAATTGTGGTGGTTTGGAGAAGCTTGGCAGGTAGAAAATATTCTCTTTGCTTAGAGGTAAAGATCTAAGTACACTTGGTATTTGCAATGAGTTGGCATTGCTGCCTAGGCTAAGAGTTAATGAAAATGTTTGATTTAGCCCTGGTTATTTGCTTTCACTGCTCTTCCTGAATGTTTTGTGCACCACTAGCTGCCGTAAGAACTTTTACAGTTGAGGATATTTATATAATACGTGTGGATATCAGATCAGTATGCTTGGCTTCCTTCTATTTGTCAAATGTTTATCAGAAGACTAGGAAGACAGGAAATGGGGAGTTGATGTTTTTCACCTGATGGGACTGAGAGTATTGTAATGTCTTTGTATTTAAGGTAATTGTAAAGTGTTGGCATCACACATTTTTCTGTTGTACTGATGTATTGGCAGCAGTATTTTTTAACACAGCAGTATTTTCTGGTCACTAGAGATTAGCTAGATGTCACGTGCTATATGACAGAACATACCCAAATAATTGCTTTCTCAAATAATTTTTCCATTAGTTTTGAGCCCCATAGAATCATACAATATGCTGAGTTAGAAGGGACCTGACAGGATTATCAAGTCCAACTCTTGGCCCTAGACAGGACAAGAGTCATAGCATGTGCCTGAGAGTGTTGTCCAAACACATCTTAAACTCAGACAGGCTTGGTGCTGTGATGGGTAGCCCTACAGAAATGAAACAACTTCTCAGAAAAAAAAGTTGCTTGTGATTGGAATTCTAATCATGTGAGGAGAGGCACTAGAAATTAAGGAAATGCCAAGAGAAGAGTTGCTGTATCAGCTCTACTTCTCTTGGTTTTAAGGTGTCTTCTTGAATTACTTGTTACTTTTTCAGCTTATAATGCTGGTTCATATTTACGTGGGCATGCTGACATGTCAAATTTTGATACCAGCTCTCAAAAATGCACCAGAAATTAGAACCATTGCATTGAAACAGTCTCTGCAGATTGGCTCTTACACTTCAGCATTTGTAGCTTGGTCTTGCTTTATATGCTAGATGAGGTTTATGCCAGCCTAATTGGTTGCTGGCATTCCTGAATTTCCCAGCTGCTGTATTCAGCTGTGTACTAGAAAAATATAATGGAATACTGTTTCCAGAGAGCAAGAAGCAATTGTAAAGATGTAAATGCTTTATCTGGCACTTCAATGACATGTAAACTTTCAGTAACACAAAGAATTTTTAGGAACAAATTGTATGAGCACATTGCTGGTTTAAACACTGTAGTGAAGATTTTATGTTTAAGCTCAGAGTATTTGTAAGATGGACATAACTTTTATTTTTGTTAGTATGTGGGTTTTGGTGGTTTTTATTCAGCCCTGACTTTCTTGGCCAGGGAAGGGAGGAAATCTGGCACAGAAATGGAAGATTTTTTTGTGATTCTTTTGTTACAGCATGCTGGCTTACTGTATTTGTTAGAGTGTGGGGTATTTTCTGTTCATTCATCAGCCTGCTTTGATCTCTTTTCACTTGTTATGGCAAAGTTGAAACCTTTTTTAAATATTACTTGATCTCTGTCAAAAGTAAGAGCACAGAAACACATAGTAGGACTTATATGATGTCTCTGTGACTATTCACAGCTGAAACCTGTGACAGTATCACAGGTTTCAGCTGAGAATAGTGGTTTTCTCCAAAATTTTAAAAATTTGGTAATGTACTAAGTATTATTGTTATATTGTATAGAATATGTTTTACTAAACATATATTTTTCATACATTGTTTTTCTCTTGATTCTGAATTGACAGCTGGGCCAGGCTTTGAAAAAGAGCAGAAGATTATACCAATGTAAGCTTAAATTCCCAGTTCCCAGGGTTTTTGTGTCCTTGCAGCACACTGTTTGCGGAAGAGGCAGGAGTGGCATTACTACAGGAAGACAGCAGCTTCTGTTGCTTCTTTGCTAAAGGACCAGATAGCTCATTGAAACAATACAATATTCTGCAATAGTATTCTTGCTCAAAATTAAGTCCCTAGAGGTTATTAAATGCTGAAATATTAATGGGGAGGTGTATTCAGGATGGTGAGAATGGTGCTCAGAAAGCACAAATGGAAGGGTTTGTTCAGAAAAAGCATGGGTCAGGGAAATAAAAACAAGAGAATGCCAGAGGACAGAAACTAAGTGAAGCAAAAAAGGGAGGCTTTTTATTTAGAATGTTAAAAAACTACTTAACCTGCCTTAGTGTGGGAGCGACTGTTATGGTTTGGGCCGGGAGAAGCGTGGAGGTTATAAATGCATCTGTAATGTGTGTTGCTAGTGAGGCGAGTACTGCAGATGTGAAAGTGATGCTGCCCAGGGCTGCCAGCTGCTCTGTGAGTTCTCTGAATGCTACACTACCTGAGCTGCAGCAAGTCTCTTCCTCTGCGCTGTGTGACTCTACAGGGATTTGCTGTTACCTTCCGTGATGCTTCCCTGTGTTCTTCCTCCTTACTGAATCTTAAATAGATGTGAATGTTTAGGCAGCCTTTGTAGGAAAAGAAATATTAAAGGTATACATTTGTTGCTCTCACTATTGACTGAGGTAATTCAGGGTATCATTCAAAGTTTTTCTTTCTTTCTGTCCCTCTGCAGGCCCTAGAGACTTAGACTGTAAAACCTTTTTTTTTTTTTTTTATTTTGGAAAACTGTCAATTGTGACTGAAGTGGCCAAAACAAAAAGTTGAAGAAATCAATGGGGCAGAAAAGTAAAGGGGATTTTTAGGTCCAATAGCTTTAGAAAAAAAGAGAAAGTGCAGGGCAGAGAATGCCCAAACTGAAGCGTGTGTGCTGATTGTACTGTGTTTTACCCTGAGCAGGTGCCCAGCAGCAGCAGCAGCAGCAGTAGTATATTCACAACTGCTCCAGTATGATCATTCATGCTTTGGGAGCTGCACATAGTCCTAGGGGGTGGCTTGTGGCAGGTGGAGCAAAGGATTGCTTCTTCGTAGTATGGACCCTAGTTACAGGAGGGTGTGTGAGGAGCAGTTGCTTTGGATTCTTGTTCTTTAGAAACCTCAGTTCTTGGTACTTTAGGGCAAAGCATGGATGTGAAATCAGTGTGACACTTGGGTCTTGATCCTTTTGTGTCATGTGCATGACTGTCCTGCTCTTCCAGTGCATAGGAAAGAGAACATAAAAAAATTGCCATGTATTATATATTTTAGAAGAAAACTCTTTATTTCTACTGAAAATTTAGTGGTTTTATCTTACTCTATGAGGGCTTGCTTCCTTTGGATCTTGCACTGGAGAAGTCAGTGCAAAACCACCTTAACTCAAGCTCAGCAGTCTGAGTAAGTAGCTCTTTCTAAAATAATGGTTTGTGTTATTCCAGGCAGTTTAAAGTGCCTAGAAAAAGTGAGTACCAGAACACAGTTTCAAAGGGCTTAATTTCAGTGTTCAGATGTGTAGTGTTGTATCAGCCTAGAAGGGGAGACTAACAAGCCTTTGTGAAGTGCACCTACAGGGCCTTTAGCACCTGTGGGAATCTTCTGGTATTGGAGTTTTCTTTTCTCAAGGAGAGAGAGTCTTAAGTGGTGTGGCTTTCCTGAGAGGTTCTGTTTACTTACCACTCAATTTTCTGTTCATTGTGATTTTCACTTAGATGCTGACTATCCCATTAGAGCCTCCACTGGTGGGTCAGGTCTGAGCCACTTCACACTGTGTGGCCTGCAATCACCTACTATTTATCACCTAACTTTTTTCAACAATCTTCTTCCTACCTTTCTCTATATGTCTCAGTACAGAAATGGATGGAAATGCATTCTGGAAATTTTTCCTACCATTTAATAAATGATCGCTTGTCTTTGCTTTCTAGGCCGAATTCACCAAGCTATGGTAACATCCCTAAATGACGATAATGAAAGTGTAACTGTTGAATGGATTGAAAATGGAGATACTAAAGGGAAAGAGGTAAGCTTATTTTTTTAGAACTTTTAAAAAAATGTGTAATCTGTGTGAATGTTACCTGTAATTTGCACTGGAAACAAAAATGAGACATAAATTTTAATTTACTTCATGATTCTTTGGTTATAGACTGTGACCAAATTTTGTACAGAAAGTCATGAGAAAATTCTGTTTCCCACTGTAAATTTGAATGCCTGCGCTCTGTGTCATAGCTTTTAGACAGTTGTTTTCATTTATTGATTTTGAACCAGATTCCAAAGGGTGACCTTGTTATCCGGATTTTACAAATTGGAAAAATCAAATTTTTAAGAGGTAGAATGACACACCATTCAGACAGGAAGCTAGTAGGAGAGCTAAAATAAAAATTTTGTTGTGTTTATATTCTTGAGGAATTCAACTGCCAGTTTGTTTGCTTATTCACTTTTGGCAGCAATTTTCCAACCTTGCTTTCCTTATGAAACTGTGTCTTTTTATGCAAAACTTTCCTACCACATCTTCCTTTAAATTTTGGACCATGTTATCCAGTTTCAGTTTGGAGAAGCATCTCAGAAGTAATTGCACTTTACTGGTTTTGTGAAAACACAGGAAAAAGGAAAAAAAAAAGCCATGAGAAGGTCCAAGAGATTTTACTAGCTAATGACACATAGAATCTATACAGCGCTGAAGTCTTTGAAAGCTTCAGCCAAGAGAAATTGAAATCTATACAGACCAAAGCTCTTCAACATTTTTACAAAATTATGTTTTTAAATCTGCCCCTCTTCCCTTACATTTTACAGCAGTTTGAATAACACTCACTAATACTTAAAAAGAACCAAAAAAACCCATGATAAATTTAACATGGTTTCAGCCATGGTTTGATTTTTTGGCATCTTTGCAATTTGTTCCTTTTGCACTCTCTGGGAAATTTAAGGTAACTGAGATCTCCTTTTTATGTTACAGAATGTCTTACATATTTTTCAGTAATTGTCAAATTACCATAATAATTCTAGCTACTTCTCTTCTAGTTTGACTGCCTTACAAAATTATACTATCTATTGGTCATTTTGCATTCATCCCCTTACTGAATGATGTGTTTTCAAATAAAGATTAGTCTATTTTTAGTGAACAGAAAATAATTCAGATCTTAGAAGGAACAAACTGTGGGGTAAAAACACTAAACATATTTACTGTTTATTGTCAAACATAACAGGAGATAAAGAGAGGATTTATGTCAAGTGTCATTAATGTGTTTTATGCTCTTTTTCACAGATTGATTTAGAGAGCATATTTTCACTTAACCCAGATCTTGCACCTGATGAAGATATTGAACCTAACCCAGAGACACTACCACCACCTGCTTCATCAGCCAAAGTAAACAAAATTGTGAAGGTTGGTAATATCTATGCGGCATGTTCATGGTTACTTTACAGTAGCTCTATACATGATGCTATGCCAGAATTTTTAACTTAACTTTTTTGTCTGTGCTGCTATTTCATAACTGTGTTATTTTCTTTTTCCTGTGGTGAATAGGGATTTCTAAATGTTTTTAAGAACAAGTTTGGCAGAGAGGGAGTTGGGAACCAGTATTTGTATAGCTAAATGTCTTAATGAAGGATAAAGAAAAGGTTTTGGATTTTTCTGAAACATTGCATACGGTTCAATCAGCCTTCACCCCTTCACTTTTCATGGTGGCATTAGCCAGCAGTAAGATCTCTTTTGTTCATGTTGTGTTATTTTAATTCACTGGAAAGAGGCAGAGGTGGGGCTGCAGTTTATGCTTTCAATATTATGGTGATCAAACGAGAGACTTCTTTCTTTATAGAGTCGACGAACTGTGTTACCTGCTAAGAATGACCCTCCTGCCAGAGACAATAGAGGTAAATGTCCTCTCTTTCCATTTCAATGAAGTAAAAAATACGGTAATATTTTAATGTCCTGTTTATCTAGCATTCCTTAATAGTTTTGCATTTCTCATTTGATATGTATGCCTGTGGCGTGTAAAAGATATAGTATATAATTCCTAGAATTATTCCTATGTATATTTAGGAATTCATACTGTACCAATAATATTTATATGCACGTTTAGGCCATATATCATTATAAAAGTTAAGCTGAATTACCTGACTGCAAAAATTTGAAGATAATTAATTATGCCATATTAAATCATGCATGGACTTTTCATATATAAGTGTCCTCAGCTTATTTTAGTGTTTCAATATACACTAAGTAGTGCACTTTGAATTCTTAACATTTTCCATTTTTAAACTTTTTTTGTTAATTGCCAGTTGTTTTGTTACAGTCTGAATGTGAACAATCAGAAGAATATAAGAACACTTCAGTCCTAAAGGTTTTTTTATCACTCCACAGTTAATAGTGAAAAAACCTAAAAAAAATTGCTCAAATACCACAGAAGAATAGGTGAAAAATATGTATTGGATGAGAACAGATGTAATGCATCTATAACATGTGAAAGAATAGGTACTGCTTATTGTTTTCATTTTCTCTCCTATGTTCAACTTAACCGACTTGAATTGATGATGGTGATGATGATTCTTCTTCCAAACATTAATCTTTAATTAATGTAAAAACATTAATTTCTTCAGACTAGATTCTAGTCCATTTTTTTAAACTTGGAAAACAAGTGGGCTTGCATATCTTTGCAAGTGATCAGACTCTTCTGACTGGGAATACTTTTGCCCTTCTGCCATGTGGCTCTAGGGGTATTAAGCAGACTGAAACTACCAGAGTGTTTTGGGGTTTTTTTCCTACTTAGTGTGGTTTACATATGGGATGGCTTACTGATGGACTGTCCTTACATCCATACATTTTGTCATTTGTAGTAAAATATCAGTTTGGTATGAAATGACCCTGTAACTTGTATTTTAATGAGTACCATGCCTATTCACTGTTGGCCTAATTATTTTTCTTTTGGCCTTATAATTCAACTTTTCTCATCACACTGTTTTCTTTTGTGTAGTCAATTTATACTATAAGCTAGATCTCCCATGATATGTTGAATGATCTGGGCATTTGTCTTGTCTGTCCTGTTAAAAACCTGTATCTGTAGTTGTTTCCATGTTGTACAGTGAGCTGGCCTTCACTTGGAGTCTCATTTCTGGCTGCTGATCAAAGATGATATACTGCTCTGACACACTCAGAGGTGTGTGCAGGAAATAGGCCAGCTGAAGCAGAGCTGATGAAAGCAACAATTTGAAAAACAATTTAAAGCATTCAGCTCTATCACACAGGCTTGCATGCTCAACACTCTCACTTCATTCACTGTAAAAAGATAATCACAACTTCTTCAGAAACTGGCATTCTTAGCACATATAGAATCAATGCATAAGTTTAGACATATTGATTGTATCTGTATCCCTTCTGGTATAGAGGCAAAAAGGCTTGTTTCTTCTACTTACAGATTGTTCTGCACTTCACTGGCTTTAATTTCTATTGCTTTGCTCCTCCTGATCATAGGCTCAGTTGGGTTGGAGCATTTTGTAGAATCTAGAAAATGAGAAACAGTGGGGCTTCTTTTCTTACTGTTTCTTTGGGTATAATTGCGATATAAATAAAATTGAAGCACTTCATGCTCAGGACTGCGTATCTCCAAGTAAACACTTCATTCTGTGCACATAGTAAGTTGTACTAATTCTGCGGTATTTAAAAATATGCATGTGCAGCATTGGTACTTAATAATCATGTTGCGTTAGTGTGCAACACTGGGATAAAAAAGTCTGCATACCAGATGTTTTTGTTAATAGAGTATGGCTCCTCCTCATCCACAGTAAATGGTTGTGTTTAGAAAGGGTCCTCATTTTATCTCATCTTAACAAAGCATTTCAGAAATGAGTAGGAAGGTTACTCCTCCATGTCCAGATGAGCTTTTTGCTTTTCCTTTGCAGTGGTTGGTTCTGCACGTGCACGACCTACTCAGCTTCCTGAGCAGTCTTCCTCCTCTCAACAGAATGGTAGTGTTTCAGATATATCTCCAGTTCAAGCTGCAAAAAAGGAATTTGGACCCCCTTGTATGTAAACCGTGTATCAAGGACTGATTCATTCTGGGCGTTACATGTACATTCTCTTGGATTTTTTTGTTATCCATAAATGACAAATGCTCAGTTGTCTGTGAGCTTCCTTGAGGAGCTTTTCAGAAAGCTGTGGCTAAACATATGCTCATTGTTGTTGCAATTGTACTAGTATTTGGAATTTGTTTCTCCTTTATTTTCTTTTAACCATGGTAGTATTGTTTAGCTTTTTTTTTTTCCAAAATTTTTTTTATTTGTCTGGGCTTACTTTTAATTCAAACCAAGAGATCACATGTATCTGTCCAAATACTCTTTCAAGGTCATATATTTTTGTTTGTGTAATTTGTCCCATTCCCATGGTATTTTTCTAATAAGTTTTATGTATTTTAGAAATTTTAATGCCATAATGATTCTATACTATTTAGATTTGCTTGAAAACATAGTTGATAGTTGATGTATCCTAATTATTGATACATTAATTAAATTAAAGTTCACAATGTAAATATGGAAGGTATTTTAAAATTGCATCTTTTTCTTTAAGCACGTAGAAAATCTAACTGTGTAAAAGAGGTTGAAAAATTGCAAGAGAAACGTGAAAAAAGAAGGTTACAGCAGCAGGAACTTAGAGAAAAGAGAGCTCAGGTTAGTATTTTTAGCTCAACTGGAAATCATATGTCAGCAAGAGAAATTTGCAGAACTATTCTTTTTTCAGTCTTTAATAATTTTTATGACTGTGACAATCTTGAAATGGTTTTCATTCTGTGCACAGATTTGACAAATATTTTGGTATTTGGTAGGACTACTACTATAGATGGTTTTCCCCCTTTTTCTTCCTAAAGAAATCATTACTTTCAATTGCTGTCATACAGCATGTTCTTCAGAGAGCAGCTACTGATGATAGCTGTTTCTTAGGGAAATTGTATTTTTGTCAATAACCGACCTTTTGACTTTTAGAGAAGTCTGTTACTCTACAGGAAGTAATACAATATTATGATAAATTATTCATTATGATCTTTGATGCTTTATAGATCTATTTGAGGCTCAGGTTTTAACAGTGACTTCTAATGTTTCTTTCTTTAAACTGGTCTGTACATTTGTAATTTCATCATACAAGCAGCTTGGCAGCCAGTTGCTAAAAACTTGTGTGAAAGAAATGAGGTGGCTAATCCTTTGAGAAAAATCTCTTAATATTAAATGACTTTCTGTCACAATGGTGTAAAAGCTTTAGCAAAGCTAGGAGTGTAATCTTGTTGGCAGCCGTGTGCAAATGTGTTAGTCTCTAAAGAGATAGTACCAGTCTGCTGCTGACATGAGAATTACCACCATCAAGTAAATCATTAATAAAATTTACTTTTCATGGTTTAATGATGTTTCCATATTGACCTAAAATCACCTACATTAAAATTTGTGTCTTATCGTTTACATTTGTTTACACAAAACATTAATATGTCTTAATATGTGATGAATGATGATTTTTGGCTTTATATATTCAAATGCTTTGAAGTGGTGTTACTTGTAAAATTTTTTTATTTCTCCTGTGAACACTCCTTTTGTGTTTGAGTCTTAAACTTCTGTATGAGGAAGTTGTCATGAAATGAAACAGTAATGCACCAAGCACTGACTACTCGTATGCAAGACCTTTAAACTGGTCTTGAAGAATATTAGGTAAATGCTTTCTCCATGATAAACGATACTTTTCTCTGAATGTTATGAAGAGACATTTTTTGAAGACTCACTGTCAGCAGTTTTTAGTCAGAGTGGATGACATCAAGGTGCAGTCAGTTTCTGATAACCAGGATATAGTATTTTCTGAGGTGAAGATTGTCACAAGTGCAGAGAATGAGCTGGCTGCCTTTCAGCTTAGTAACCCCAATCCAGTGCTTTCTGAGAGCGCCTACACCGTGTCCACAGCCAGCTATGATTCAGAAATTTTATATCATGCAAAACTTAGGAGGGTCTGAGCTCCAGAGCTGGCATCAGCAGCATGTCCTGAAGGGTTGTAAAACAGGTATTTGCAGGGAGAGGTGATGCGAAGTTGTGTAATCAGTTCTGCAGAAAACAGAGTAGGCTCAGGCTCAGCTTACTGGTGCTCCATGCATGACCTCTTACATGTTCATTTACTCTGGTACTAATGGCTCCACATTTAAGGATAGGTTGTCTTCTGTGCCTATGTTACGGGTTCAGCTGTCAGCTGTGTAGACTGCCTTGGTGCTGGGGTGGGGTGAGGACCAAAAATGGACTTTGCTGTGTAAGTGCTGCTCAGGAGTAGCTGAAACATCCATATATTATCAATCCTCTTTCCAGCACAAATCCAAAGCAGAGCTGCTGTCACACTCTTCTATGGAGAAAGAAGCCAAATCCCAAAGCCTCTATCCCAGCCAAAATTGTCACAGCCTGGATGTAGCCAATTGAGTATCCTTGGGATTGCTTCTGCCTTGCTGGGGTTCTGGGACCCTTGGAAGAGTTTGCAATGCATCCAGATATATGTATAAATTAACAGAGGACCAATAGTTAGGAGCAAACTATAACTGGCTTGTATCCAGCAGGACTGTGTTTAGGGCAGCTGAGGTTCCTGCACTGTCCTCTGTGGTGTGTGTTGTACCTGTCGAGTATCTATGCATCTGTCAGAATGCCATATCTGAGATAAAGAAGTGTTGACAATATGTTTATTCAGTTTGAAGGTGCTGGCAAAGGCAGGAGTAATTTCTCTATCTTAAGTAGATTAATTATGAGTCCTCAATTTATAAGTATTTTCTATTATATGCCAACCCAAATGACATGGGAAGCATCTAATTGTTTCCTTTATGGTCAGTAAATTAGCTACATCAGAGTGGAAAAAGGTATTAAATCTACATTTAGCTCTCAAGAGACATTTCCGGTGTTTTGCAGAAAAAATAAGATTTCAGTTGATGTGTATTTTTTTAATAGATAATTAATTTAGGCCTTTTTTGGAAGCAAAAAGTATAATAGAAATTCTGTTGCTTACTTTTTCCTAGGATGTTGATGCTACAAACCCAAATTATGAAATTATGTGTATGATAAGAGATTTCAGGGGAAGTTTGGATTATAGACCACTGACAACTGCAGATCCTGTAAGTATGCCAGCAGCATGGAAATGTGTTATCCTTCTATGTTTTTGCTGTTTCAGTTTTTTTTTTTCAATGTATATTTCTGTCTGTTAATGCAAAAAATAGGTATTTAAATATATGTCAGTATTCAGTATAACATGGGTTTATTTTTCCAGTAATTTGTTGGTACTGAAATGAGTAGGTTTTGGAAGTCGTAATTTACTGAACTTGTTAAGTTATTTAAATGTCTTTTTACTATTAAGTAATGCCAATGTGTACTAAGTAGTCACTCAGCCTTTGTATGGTAAATTTTCCAGGGATGCTAAGGGATTTGCACACAAAACCATGAAACTTACTTAAAAGCCCTCTTCAAATAATGATTACTGTTTGATCTTTGAAGGTGATGTGTTCTTTTGGTTTGCAGATAAGTCAGAGGAGTGGAATACTTAAATGAACAAGCCTGTCAAATTCTATGGAAATCAGAGAATGTGATGATTTCTGTCAATAGCATATCTACCCTGTTAAAGCTGGATTTGCTTGCGTAGTCCAATAGTACCTGTAACTCTGTTGGATTAGAACACTGTCTGCAGGCAGTTCTGTTAATTTATGTTTCTCCCTTTTGGGTTCTTTGCTACTGTGCAGGCACAATGGATTTTTACATGTTCAGATGACTTGCTGTCTGGGACATTTCTCTTGGTTTAAATGATTGGTTACTTAACTGAAAAGAGAAGTCACATAAAGTCAAATATTTTGTAACTGGAATTGGGGAGTGTAGCTCACTGAAAGACTTTCCTTTGCAGATTGATGAGCACAGGATTTGTGTTTGTGTGCGAAAACGACCACTCAATAAAAAAGGTAGGATTGTTGAAGATTTTGTTCTTTTGTTTATCTGAAAAACTGCTTCTGATAGTAACATTATTTGTGTTAAACAACTCTGGAAATACTGATCAAAGGCGAATCTTTTATATTAGACAGTGTGTGTGACGAACCTAGAAAACTCATAGACTTGTCATAACCTGAGGAGAAAAGTAGTTTACCTGCCACAACTTCATGGATTAGGAGCTGAGGCACAGGAAGAGAGTAGTTTTTTCCCAAGGTCATCTGGGATGTATTTAGTTGATCTGGAAATTAATTCTGCTGTAATCTTTTCAGTATTCTTACATTGTATTAGGATCACATTTTAAAGTATCCTTCAAGTGATCTCCCTAGCAGAAAGTTACCCAGTGAAACCTTTAATACATGTTTTTGTAAATATATTTTTATACTTCCAAGTGGTCCTGAATCAGGCATCAAGGAAGTATCTTATGACATGGTTGGTGCCTAAACATGTCCAAGACATCCCCAAGACATCCTCACAGAGCTAGTGGATTACAGGCAAACATGAGACTTGTACACCCTGGAGTGGTTGCTCAGAGCTGCCAAAGTTACCCTAGAGAATATCAAATGCCACTAAAAAACTGTTAGGTACTGAGAGAACTCCCTAAAGACTTTTTATTTTATGTGATGAGTGTTCGAACTATTTTTCTTGCTGCCTGCTCATCAGATTAGGGTCTGTATGAAAAAAAAACAACAAAACCAAACAACAAAAAACTGTTCAGCTTTCAATTCCAGTTAAATCTCAATCTTCCTAGGAAATTCTTTGACTTTCAGTGGGAATTTAGGAACACAAATGCTTACTGGATTGCTGCTTGTCTGAATCCAGTGCTGCAAGATGTTTCTTTCCTTCCCTTTGTCTTATATTCTGTTCAGCTTAAGGACTCAAAAGAGCATCACTCTGATGCTGAGGCAATATGGGATGCCATTTATTGTTTTGATACTGTCAGAAGTACACATGTAGGATTATCTGAAGCAACCGAGAGGAAACTGGGAGAAATATTTTCCCTTTCCCATACATATGTTGATACCAGTAGATAGTTAGGTTTTTTCTTGTTTTTCCCCTTCACATTGCTGTTTCTATTTTTTCTTTTCATTTTTACTTACTCTGTCAGGAAAAATGTCACTTTCTACCTGTGGTGAAGGTGGACAAACTGAAATAGCAGTAAATGAAAACAAGTTGTTATGAGACATGAGTTTGGACTCAGAAATGGGATTTGATTTTGTGAAAGTTACTTATCTTTGGTACTAATGGTTGAGAGCTATTAAAAAAGTAGATCAGAGGTGTTTGTAGAAAGATGAATGTCTAAGTAAAAATGAGGTTGGTACTTAAAGCTGTTTTGCATTTTTAAGAATGAAATAAATAGTAAAGAAGGTGTTAACTAAATAATCTATGCAGGGGATGATAATCTAGTTACCCACATGATACAATCTTCTGAAAACACTCAGTTCATAAGAAATAGTATTTCTCATAAAATCACGGAAAATATAAAAGAATTAAAGATGCTGGACTGTAACCTTATGATTAGAAAAAAACAGAATTAATTTGTTTTGTCATCTCAAAACTGCAGAATTATCACAGAAACATAAAGTGTTCTCAACATCAATTGTTCTGTGGATTGACTTTGCAGGAAGTAGGCGTTCAGAGTGACACTTTGAGGTTTTAGTTCAGTGACATGTATTTATAATTCTGAAATGTATGATGGGTTTCAGAGACACTATTCCTAATTTTGATCAGCTAAGGATACTGGTTCTCATACCAAATAGCTGGGAGGAAGTAAATATCTTACTCCAAACAATTTTTTAAGAAAAATCCTCTTCTGACTGGTTAAACTAAAAAGTTTTTGCTGCTAAGAACTGTCCATCATGCATTTCTTTTTGTCACTGTTCCTTACTTTTTATCTGTAATTGCCGCAGAATAATTGCATTTCATTTTATTGCAGTGCAGTTGAAAAATTGATTATACTTTGACTGGAATGTGTGTTTCTGTTGGAGTGTAACGTAATGCAATGGTAACCACTGTACTGTTTAGTCAGGATGTTAACTCATGAAAAGGTTTCTATCTGGTTGTATAAAGTAACATCAAATTCTTGAACTGCATGCCTTAAGATATTTTACATAGAAATGCAAGTAGGACACATTAGTGTATCCTGACTGTACACAAAAAGGGTCTTTATTTTTGTGCATATTATGGATCACTGGGTTCTCTGTTTTGCTGACTCATATACCATACAACAATTAGTGGTAAATTGCAGTGCTGCATAGTAATTATAATCTAGGATCTCACTGTTGAAGTCACACTGATAGGAAGGATCATTATAATTTTCAGCTTGTTCTGCTTACAAGATAATTTTTAGAAAGGTTTTTACTTTAGAGGAATTATATATTAAAGATATGTGCTATAGGTTCCAGGAAGAATACACAAATGAAAATGTCTGTGAGGAATGAAAGCAAAATGTAAAGAAAATATCAAGATAAAATTTTAAAATAAAATGTATTATCTCAAGGATATTAATTTCTTTGTGTTTTCAAATTTGAAAGTCTAAGCAGTATAGTACCAGTATCTAGTTTCTCCACTAGAGAAGATATTTACAAAAACTCAAAGGATATGGCAGTGAGCTGTAAAAGAGTATATAATCACTAAGGAATAAGACCTGATATCCATGAAAAGTGTTACAGAAGACATAAAAAGTTGTAATGATAGTGCTGTAATTAATGATCATAGTCTCTCTGAAACAGCTTTGTACCTCTCTTTAATTTCTAGCAATTGGTAGGATGGGATGACTAGACTTCCAAAATGAAATCTCTTGCTTAGCAGACTACTATCTAGGCATTAGAAGCCCAAATCCATTGCAGTGTTGTTACTTGGAGGAGCTGTGTTATCTGAGATGTTATAAGAGTGTAAACAATGGGGAAATGTAAAAAATAATGATGTGTTGTTAGTTAAATATATATTTCACTTATTTTATAGAAACTTTAATGAAAGACCTTGATGTAATAACAATTCCTAGTAAAGATGTTGTGATGGTACATGAACCAAAACAAAAGGTGGATTTAACAAGGTACCTAGAAAACCAAACTTTTCGTTTTGATTATGCCTTTGATGACACGGCTCCTAATGAAATGGTTTACAGGTATGTGTATATGCTTTTTTTTTGGTTAATCTTTTTTCTCATGTTTTTTCCATACTAATAACTGTTACATTGGTCTTAGACTTTATTCCTATTCTCTGTGTTACCAAATGGTATATTGCTATCTCCATTCTTTTACCTGTTTACTTTTGTTCTAACTCTATATCCCTAATTGTTCTCCTGCAATGTCATTTCCACCTCTGTTGACTTCAGTCCTACTCCCACTCCTCCTTCAAGCCCTGTTGCATTCCAGGCTCTAGCAAGTATCACCTGCCTCCTCAGCTGCTGATTACTTGAGCCACGTAATCAGTTCTCCATTTGCTTCCAGATTACTGTCTTATTAGTGTGTATTCAGCACCTGAGGAACCTGAGCCATGGCTTTTGGTCATCAGGAAACCTGGAAGAAAAGGAGAGCCCTAGCACCAAAGCGCTTGCAGTCTGAATATAGGATAATTAAGAGATGGAAACAAACCAGTAGAGGGTGAGAAAAGAGTACCAATAGTGAGAGATTGTATAGTGCAGTATTGCTGAGATACCTGAGCTAATTTATCTTCTGGAAGCAATCTGGCTGATGTAATGTGGAAGTATGTGGAGCTAAGTTATTTTGCAGAAAATACCAAATCTTTCTGATTTAAAAACAAACAGCAGCAAAGACATATATCCTCTTTTAGGCCCAAGGTATTTTGTTCTTTCATTCTTCTGTTTCAGTTCTACTTTTGGTATGGAATAATTCACAAAGCACTTTTAAAAGCATGTTTAGAAGTAGCTATTACCCTTGAACAAGTAACTAAATGAAGTACATACAGTAGTGGGCAAGGTTAGACACCGTGACATAATCTTGGGCAGAATCTTAGTATGCGTCTAAATACTGTGAAGATTTTTGCAGGAAATACTGATATTAAAAAGGAATTTGGTGAAAATAATTTTTTTTATGCTTGGGAAGTGCTTCCCATAGTCTTAAAGAGTATTGGCAGAGAAATATCTTACTTGGTTTTAATCCACAACTAGGAAGTGAAAGTCAGGATTGTGTCCTGATTGATAGTGGAAAACAAAAAAGTCATAGTGGAAGAATTCTTAAAAGGTTGTGAAAATGAAACTTCTTATGCTTGTCATAGAGAAGGGGGTGAAACAAAAATCTCATAAAACTAATACTAACAAAAGTGTTGTGAACAACAAAGCTGTGTCCTATCTTTGCTGGCTGTCTGCTGGTATCATCTTTCCTTTCCTTGATACTGAAGAGCTGTGGGAGAGCCAGCTGGTTGATGATGCATGAAATAATTCTCATGCTTGACAATCCATTCTTCTAATCTTCCACCTTCTTTTGTTTCTATGTGTGAACATAGTGTTTAATGTGAGGGGTGGTTTTGGTATAATGTGTTTTTGTACTGAGTTTAATCAGAGTTTTTATTAGTTATGTAATACATTAATGGCAATACAGGAATATATTTTAAGATTATTGCATTTATACTGAAACAGTAGATCTCTAGTCTTTCTCCTTCTCCCTCATATGGCACAATAATGATCATTACTTGAAGGGCAATCTGTTTTAAGGTCTTCTGTAATAACAGAAGTAAGAGAAAGATAGGTGTCATCATGTGCTCTCATCAGAGCCTCAGGGTCATACTGAGAAAAAAAAATACTGTGACAAGATGCTCCAGTTTTCTCCAATATGCTAAATTTACTGTATATCTATACTGAAAAGATTTTCAGTCCAAGGTAGAAAAATACTCTATTATTATTACTGCTTCTACCATTATTATTACTACTATTATTCTACATTATTACTACTACTGTTATTATTTTGCTTAACCTGTATTTTAAGTATTTTTAATCTATGAACCACAACACAGAGTTGCAAATTTTTGTAATATTAAAAACACTCACTGCTTGGAATGGATATGCCTTATGAATTTTAAAGGAGAACCAGTTTATGTTTCTGAAAGACTAAGTTGCAAATAAAAGTTCTAGTAAAAGTAAAGTTGGACTCTTAGCATAGTATCATTTGGAGTTGTGTAATCTTTTATGAAAATGTTTTAAGATATGTTTGTTTTTTCTTACTTTAAAATAGATACCTTTAAGTCCCCTGTTAGTAAATCAGCAAAATAAACAGTTTCAAATTTAATAAAACAGAAGTAATGGAGTGTGGTTCTAAAGTGGATAGAGTTTGTGAATTTTTTAATTTTTATATATACAAAAAGCAAACATCAAAATATGGGAATATCCTTTTGAGAAGACAGAGGTACATACTTAGATGAAGCAAAGAAAGAAAGGCTAAGGCTGCTCAGGAATCATCTGGTGTATTGACGAAAATTCATGGTTCAGCTAGATGTAGATTCTTTACATAACCCTTCGTTGCTGTTTAATGGCTCAGTCTTGCCCATATTATTTTTGTAAGTGAACTTTTGTTTAAAAGGAGAATGAAAGGAGGGTATAGCATCTCAGTGTTTCTGTAATTAATTTTTTCCTTTATTGCTCACCTATTGGTTATTTGTGTGTAAAGATCTGGAAAAAGTTTAGAAAGAGTTTTGCAGAGAGAATTGTCGCCATAGGTAACTCTCTCTTAGTTTACCCTTTGCTTTTGGAGTTTACAATGAAATAATAATTTTGATTGATAAAATTTGGTGATTGATAAAATCATCACTTTTGGTGATAAGCACCTGAAGTAGGAACAATAGTTCTGTCTTTCTTTAAATTAACTAGCTAAAAAAAGAAATGATACTTCAGATAATACATTTGATACAGCAAGTTGTACCTCAGGGATCAGTAGATTATTTCATTCTTAAGAGTTTGGGTATCCATTATCTTGAGCCCTTTCTTAATGTATGCATGTTCTCAAAAATTGAGAGGTGCAATGTTGTTTTAGCTTCTTGTCTTTCAAATTTAATCTTAGAAGTTGATTTGGGAAGGAAAAAAAACCCACGGCAGAATTTTAGTATTGACAAAACTCCTATCTGCTACACTGTCCTACTTCAATATCTTCTTACTCTGTCACTTTGAGGGAGCTCCAGACTCCCTTTAGTAAATTGTGGGATGTTGGCTCATTAGAACAATGAATCATTGGTTTAGGGTTTAAAGGAGGATAATATTGTTGTAAAACAAATGAGAGAGACCTCTTAGCTTGTGATGGTTTGGAAGATTTTAATACCTTAGAGGTGGTAGTCTCCTTAAGTCAGAAATTAATTTGACCTGTCAAAGTACAGGACCAAGTTTGTCACTTCTGTCCTTAATATTTTAGTTTTACATGTGGCAGTGGAATCTTAAAGTACTTCAGCTTTTTAACTATAAGTTTTTTTGCATTCAAGGTTTACAGCTCGACCATTAGTGGAAACCATATTTGAAAGGGGAATGGCCACTTGTTTTGCATATGGACAAACAGGAAGTGGGAAAACCCATGTAAGTAGTTCTTCTACAAGTCAGCAATACTGTGTTTTTACATGTCACACTTAGGTCTGAGTTCTAATAAATAAGGAATATATAAACTACAGTTCTGTGATTTTTATGGTGTTTTTCTTTGCTGTGTTTTTTTTTTAAATTAGACAATGGGTGGCGACTTTTCAGGAAAGAACCAAGATTGTTCTAAAGGCATATATGCACTTGCAGGTGAGACTTCATTGATCAGTTGGATTTGGGCAGATCAGTTGAGATTAATGAATTTTCTACTCTTTGTCATACAAATTTAACAGTTGACATACTTTGCATTGCAGTGGAGCTTTGGTAACATCAGAAGTTGTCCCTAGATGTATGTCCTTTACAAAGTAATGTAAATATAGACTACTTAACAAAAATGCCATAACAGATTAAGTTTATCATTTTGGTGTCTTCTGCATCTTCCAGTGTAATGTGTCAATTTAGACTGCTCTGTTTAGGCTTGGTTGACTGACCCTATCTGTCATTCTTGCAAAATATGAGGTGCTGTAAAATAGAGTTTTACGCATGAATGAATCTTCACTGGATGAAAACACATGATGAGATTTCTTTTTATTCTGGAAATGTATTCACAGCTCGAGATGTCTTTTTAATGCTAAAGAAACCAAACTATAAGAAGTTAGAACTTCAAGTATATGCAACATTTTTTGAGATCTACAGTGGTAAGGTAAGTACCTGGTCTTTTTCTGAGAAAGGAGTTTCATACACAAAATTGTGAGCTTGTCACATAAAATATTTTCCCTCTTTGTATTAAAAGCTGTATTTCAAATAATTATTTACATTTCCCTTCCAATCATGTATTTCCATTGAATGTTTCGTATTATTTGAAATGGAATTCAAAACAGGAATGTTTTTTTAAGCTCCTTTTTTAATTGCTCTGTTTTCCTCCTTCCCTAAGGTTTTTGACTTGTTGAACAGGAAGACAAAATTAAGAGTGTTAGAAGATGGTAAACAGCAAGTCCAGGTGGTGGGATTACAGGAGCGGGAAGTCAAATGTGTTGAGGATGTTCTTAAGCTTATTGAAGTAGGCAACAGCTGCAGGTATCTTCCATAGCTTACATCATTTTTTCATTGTATGTTAAAAAAATCAGAATAAAATTTTTGGGGGTATCTTTGTCGTGATGTCTTTTAATATGCAAGATATTTTTTATGATGTTGTCTGCAAGTAAGGACTGTACCTGCATTTTAAAGAGAAGTGTTTAGAGTTTCCCTGTCTCCTTGAGAGAAGTAACCAATTTTCCAAGAGGATGTGAATTGCATGCATTATGTAAGCAGCTTACTGACTTAAATTCACATAATTTAAAAACTGGAATACTGCCAGGTTCTTCATCTCTAAAAGGCCTTGATGCATACTGGCAGAGGTTAAGCACAATTTGTGCTTAAAAGCTTCATTGCTTTTAAAATTAGCCTTGAGCATGGACTGCTGCATAATCAGATAAAAGTGCTATCAGCATTTTTTGTGTAAACTCTCTGATAGTCTGAAATATGTGAAGATCTGATTTTAAAAGAGAGGCAAAATATTACTGATCTTCTATTTCCATTCAAAGAGATGGAGAAAGAGGCATAATTGTACTATGTATATCTAGTTATTAGGTTCTATGTCTAGTGTCCATATGAGTGTTAGACAAGCATATCAACATGTAAGAAAATACAGGAATCTGCCCTGGGAACTTATCATTGTGAGGGTTAATCACCAGTTAATGTCTTTCTCTACTCTTCTCCTGTTTAAAGGACATCTGGCCAGACATCTGCAAATGCACATTCATCTCGAAGCCATGCAGTGTTTCAGATTATTCTCAGAAGGAAAGGGAAGCTGCATGGTAAATTTTCTCTGATTGATTTGGCTGGCAATGAAAGAGGAGCAGATACTTCAAGTGCAGATAGGCAGACGCGGCTGGAAGGTGCAGAAATTAACAAGAGCCTTTTAGCACTCAAGGTAACTGATATGTTTCTATTGCCTTGAAGTAGGTGAAAGTCTACATACAATAGCAGTGACAAGTAAAATTAGTGTTTTTGCGGGCTTTGCTTGTCTGCATTGTCTGTTGATATGACAGGTAGAACAACGTATTGATTTTTCCTCTAAATGCCTGAGGGAACACTCAGTAAGTCCCAAGTAGAAACAGTGCAGAAACATTGTGCTGTCAACTTACATGTCGTTTTTGTAAAATAATATCAAAACATCCCAGCAAAAGCAAGCAAGCAACCAACCAACTAAAAAATCAAAACCCCCAAAGAAAAAAGAAAGCATCCCAAAGAAACAAGTTCACAAGTTCACAAATAGTCCCCAGTGGTTGAATTTGCAGACATCTCTGATATATATGTAAAATAGGAGGGCCAGTGATTTACTTTGGTATTCAAGATATCAAATACTAACAGGAAGTAGTCTTACTGATCTCACTATTTATTTATTTTTTAAAATAAAAAATAAAACTACACTGATAGCATATTTACTGCTGTAATTTATTGACTAAAGCAAAATAACAGTAGCACGTCCAGAAAAAAAAATAGCAAATTAAAATAAACCTTGAAAGGTGAAATCTCTTTTTTTCTCTTCTTCATAGCAAATTGTCTGATACAGTCTCTTTACAGATCCAGTCCAGGATTGGATTACTGCTTAAATATTCATCTGCCTTTTCTGTTTGATGTTTTATAGTGATTGAAAAAGGTTCAGTCTAAATAGGGGAAGTATTTTTTTTCATTTCAAGCTGGAGAAACAGTAGTTTTGAATGTCTTAGAATTTCTCTCTGGTTTTTGGTTAGTTTTGCTTAGGTTTACTACTCTCATCGCTAACACTGTGCTTAGGTTTACTGCTCTCATCACTAACACTGGTTTTATATAAAACATCTGAATCCCAAGATCTCTGTGTTTACTTTTTTATTCCCAGTATAAACTTGGGAGAAGACTGGCATCTGACTAAACAGATCTCATAATACATCATAAAATTGTGATGTATAATGTGTCATTACAAAATTCTGTGGCATGTTGCAAAATTGGAAGCAGTTCCAAAACTTTGGCCTATTCTGATTTAACATCACAGTAAGCAATGCAGGGACCATTAGATTGATGTTACTACTCATTACCAAATGTAATTGAATAAAGCTATTTTGTTTTGGGGGTTTGGAGTTTTTGAGGTTTTTTTTTAGTTTATTTATTTTGTACTGGATTGTGCTCATACAACATATTTGGTTAATTTTTATACAACTTGTCTTTTTAATTACAGCAAAAGGTTCTGTTGCTGCTAAACTAGTGATATGAATCCAAATTATATAGCAAAGGGGGAAATAAAAATAAGTGGAGGTCTTGCAGAGGTCTGAAGGGTGGCACAAAAAGACAGAAGTTTTCTCAATGTTTGCCAGTTTTCATCTATCCCAAAAACATTACACAGCCTTTTCCATTTGTATTCAGGAGCCATGAAGTTATTTTCAAGTTCCAGTTAAACTAGTACATTCTGACAAAGTGGTCTTTGTTGCTAATAAAAGATTTTCTTTTTCCATCTGGATATCTGTCCTGTTCAGGATTTTGGCACAGGAGGTTATTTCTGCAATGTCTGTACATGGAAGTAGTGTTGCCACTTTGTTACCTGGTTTTCAGAAATGTAATGAAAACCAAATGTAGTTTAAAAGTCTGTTACAAATTTAGAAGCTGGTGGTGTCCTTCTGTAATTTTTTACTTATAAGGAGACAATCCAATTCTAATTTTTCAGGAGTAAGCAAACTAAAAACCATTATATTAAATTAAAATATCAATTAAAAACTTGTTGATTGTCATATCAGTAATTCAATAGAGGATATGTCTGCAGCTGGAAGATGAGTTGAGTAGAATTATTAATGTAACACAAAGGCCATTCCATCTATTAGTGCAGCTAAAAGCAAAGCTCTAATTTGAAGTAGATTTTAAGTATGGTTGGTTGTAGAAGTTCTGATAAAGTATCTGATAAGATACTTTAAAAGTGCACCCAGGAACTCTTGCATCTGGAGAAATGTCTTTTAAGGCAAAGGCAGAGTCTGGAATTAATAGTCAAAATACTATGATGACAACAATGCAGAAATTTAAAATTTCTTTGCGTGAGAATAACTTCTTAGGCAATATTAGAGCTCTGAGTGGACAGAAGTGATGGTTAGATTAATGATATGACATCATTGGTGTCACTGTTGTACTTAGTTGCTGCTGTAACTTCTCTAATATTTACATCTCTAGTATTTGCATGCAGCATTCTTACTGGAACCCAGACAGCTGCAAATATTAGTGTAGCCCCTTGCCTCTGGGAATGGAAGAGGTCTTATCCCTGTTTCTTCACATAAAGACTATTTTAAAACAGGGAGTACCTAATGTTTTCAAGCATCTTCCAATGCTAAGTAGAGAGCTTGCTTCCAGTAGAGAGCTGTGCCTACTTGGTTTATGACGTGTGGAGGCTTTCATTCAGTTTGTTTTTTTCTAAGCTGTAAAGCAGGACAGTGGTAAAATCAAAATCAAAGCCACTGCTTTTAACTGATACAATTAACCCATGTCCCTGCCCATACTGCTGCTGCTGGCAGAGGTGGTAGTTCATTCAGGCTTTTGTAGCTGATAATCAGGAATAATTGTGAGCCTGAACATTTCACATCAACACTGTTTAGTTTTGTTGTTGGATACAATAGATGTAAACAATTTGGATGACACTGAGACAGTTTTTAGGCTTCTAGTCCTTTTTGAATTCTTTCCTCTCTGCTGAGCTTAATGAGAAGTAGAATGCTTACTGAATCCAAGCTTTAGCAGTAAATTTTATTGAAATTTTGGGGGGAATGTATCAAATATAAGGCTTGTATTTTCTGATTCTGAATTGCAATTTCATTAAGTTTATTTAACTCATGATAAAGAGTCTCTGTTCTTTCAGGAGTGCATTAGAGCCTTAGGCCGAAATAAACCTCACACACCCTTCAGAGCAAGTAAACTTACTCAGGTGTTAAGAGATTCATTCATTGGAGAAAACTCGCGTACCTGTATGGTAAGTTGATTTGGATAACTGTTCTAACAATTACAAAGAGAATAGACACTGCCAACTTAGACTTTAATGCTTGAAATTGGTTTCTTGTTACTGGTAGTGTGTTGGACTTAAATTTATTCACAAATTGACATTGTATGTGGAGGGGGATTTCAAAAGAGACGTTTCTCAATGGTTTAGATTGAATATTGGGAGAAATTTCTTCACCAATGGGGTTGTCAAGCATTGGAACCGGCTGCTCAGGAAAGTGGTCTAGTCACAATCCTTACAGATCTTTAAAAGATGTGTAGATGTGGTAGTTAGGTGCATGGTGGTGGGCTTGGCTGGGTTAATGGTTGGACTAAATGATTTTAGAGGTCTTTTCCAATTCAAGTGGTTCTGTGATTCTGTGATTTTAGATAACTTGTTCTCATCTCACTTTTTTATTGACCTTTCTTATTGCTTGTTCTAGTTTTCTAGCTAGGCTGGTAGCTAGAAACATTTCTAGCTTGAGAAGTTTGTTTGTTTTTAAGACTGTCTTAATTATTAAAAAGTCTTGTTTGTTTTCCAGAATTCTGGAAAGAGGGTGTAGACTGGAAATACAGTGATGATTTGTGATTTTTAAATGACAGGAGATTAAACTAGAAATTGGTATCAAGGTCATCAGAATATGCTTCAGGCTATTGAGGGAGAAGTTGTTGGGATAGATGGGATGAATAGCTGTTGTAAATACAAAAAATATATATAAAAAAACATATGCATATATAAAATAGAACATAAATCACAATTTTTGTAAATGTTATAATTTTTATTATTATAATTATATAAGTACATATAAATATGTAAATAGTTGTTGAATAGCTGTAAATTTGCATTTGCTCTAGTCTGAAAGACAGAATTCTTCTGACAGATGAGTGAAAGGACAGATGAAAGTCCTGATGTCCAGTTGTTTTATTTGTGCGTCCTTAACATTTCTCTTTATGAGAATGCAAACTCTCTGCAGTACCTACTGATTACTGGGCTTGTTAGTGTGTTACTTTTCACAGGCTCTCTTGAATTAATTAGTCTAAAGGCCAGAAAAGTCTGCAGATCACAATGTGAAAACCATGGTCTTAGAACAGCTTAGTCTTCCCTTTAGCTGTTAGGTATATTTCTAATTTGAAAACAATGGTAAAATAGGATTTCTATTAACCTTTTTTCCTTCTAAGCTTTTTAATGAAACAACAGGATAGTTTTCTTTCCCACTGAGACATACCTGACTAAGCTGAAGATGTCCCTGCTTGCTGCATGGGAGTTGAACTGAACTTTTAGAGGTCTCTTCCAACTCAAATCATTGCATGACTTCATGAATCCTGTGCAGGATTAGATAGCTAGATAGTTCAATTCTTGCAGGTGTATCCACACTGCTGAAGGAGGTTTGAAAAATTAGCCTGTCCAAAGTAACTCTCTGCACATCAAATAAGCAGCATTTGTGAATATTTCTTGGAAGTTCTTAATTAATAAAAAGAATCCCCTCTGAAAGTGGAAATGTGCTGGAATTATGGTTTTTTTTTTTTTTAAATTTTCTCATTCACATAAGCTTAATTGTGTAGACCTTAAGAAATCTCTTTGAGGATAAGATACTGCTTTCAAATTCATTCTTCTGCTATTTTTCTTAGTAGTAGGACCACTTGTGACATTCTGGTTTTAGTGTCTGTTTACATTAATTTTTTAATTAAGAATGTAATCAGCAGAGTTTCATCTTTAGATACTGTTTAACTTGTGGTTTAACTCCAGCCAGCACTGGAGGTTATTACTAAGGACCTTCTCAACAAGACAGATTTGATCCACTGTTCAAACATCTGTTTGAATAAGACATTTTGCAACTATGTGGTGCTTTTCAGTATAGAATGCATATAAAATGATGTAGTAAAATCCTGTTATTTTTAACTTACTAAAGGAATCCTGAAATAATAAAATATGTGCTATATGTTTTCCACTTGCTTTCTGATATGTGAATGTGTAAAAAGGATATTTTGAGTAAAACTCATTGGGTAGTTTCTACACTTCATTTTTATGTGACTTTTATTGTTTATGGATATGTTGCAGTTGTAAAAGTTATGTCTTTAGGGATGGAGTATATAACATTAAACAACGATTTGAAAATTCTTTGTTTTTTCAAATTTCAGAAAAATACTTTGAAAATATGGACAGTTATGACCAGGATTTGCTTTCTTCAAAAGAAATCCAGAGACTAACAGTCAGCTAATCAGTCAATTTAAAAAAAAAATTATCAGTCATTGCTGTTTTACTGTCCTTGTCTTTAAATAATTTGAGAAACCATTTAAAGTTTTTGAAGGGTTGCATTGTAGGATAATGAATCATCATTTGAAAGTGTGACTACATAGAATAGCCTCACTTTTTAGTCAGTGCGGCTCCTTGACATGTTGCATCCTTCATGTGCTGCAGTCATAGCTGAAGTGGCCAGACCCCTCAGCTCTCCAGGGTGGGAGTGGGAACCTGCAGACTTCTGTGTCCCAGCAGGGCCATTGATTGTACTTTGATCAAAGCACTGTAGATAGATTCAAAATAGGAAGAATGATTATTGCAGGCCTTAAAGATACTCCTGTTCATAAATAGTGCAGCTTTTTTCTGTCCTCATTTGGAATTAGTAACAAGAAACTGATCAACAGAGAGGTCTGAATCCTCCTGTCCTGACTGGACTGGGCCTGTTGGGGCCTGAGGAGAGGTTATACACCAAGACTTGTGCACAAGTTCATGTGTCCTGAACGGAGTACTCACACAGACTAAGGCACCTATGGTGGCACTTCCCTAGAGCAGTATACATTATGCTCTTTAAAATGTTGGCGCAGTGTCCTAGTGTTACAGCAGTGGTAGTAAATAGGTAAAGCAAAAGCCACACACACAAAGCAAAAGAAAACATGGAATTCATTCACCACTCCAATTGTCAGGATAGTTCAGCTGTTACCAGGCTATCAGGTATCACATGTAACAATGCCTTGGGAAAACAAATACCATCAATCTAAACATCACTGTCTGTGGCATGCTCTGAACATTAAACTGGTTGAAGAGATGTATGAATTTTTCATGTTATTTTAGTTTGGAAGAGCTTTAGGAACTTCTGGATTTTTGTTAATTAGCACCCAGAACAAGAAGCATGCAGTTGTGTGATCTGAAATACAAGCTTGTTGTTTTCCTTAGTAATTGATGTGTACCAGTATTAGAGGTTTAAACTTGGGTCTCTATGGTTACTTCCACCACATATATTTCCTTTCTCCCCAGGAGGAGAAATTCCTTCTGGGATGACTACCTCTGCTTCTATACAGGAATGTTAGCAGCAGGATGAAAGAGGATTATTTAATCACCATCAGTTTCAGTCTCCTGAGTCTGTGATGCCACAAAAATGTTAGTATGTAGGATCATAGAGGTGTTTGTTATGGGTAGAGCCTTTATGACTGTTTAGGAAAGAGCACAGATGGAAAAACTGAGACTGAGAAAAATTGACTACTGAGAGAAACTAGGACAAATAATGATCCCACTTTTCCCAATCACACTTTTCATTTTTGCTGACTATGGGAAAGGTGGCACTATCTTTAGAGTAGTTAATTTAACTGGAAAAAGAAAGACCTTTAGATTGCAGATAGATCTCATGAAAGATTTGCCATCAAGTATTGTTTACATATAATTTCTGATTGAGAAAAAATATAACTCTACTTAGGAAAATATTAAGCTTATCTTTACTAATATTAAGTTCAGTTTCTGATGTGGCTAAAATCGGCATAGAATTTCCTTGAACAGAGAAAAGTCTCAAATGATGTATAAAAAAATAATGGGGTAATTGTTTATAGGATATATTAGAGTCTCCTGAGTTGCATATTTCCTTTTTTGAGGAATTAATTTTTAAGGTTACAATTTCACTTTTACACAGTATGTTATCAAGATGGTTGGGGAAACTGAATTTCTGGGAATTCTTGATGTTCCTTGTAGGGTTAAAAAAATTAAATTGAAGCTTTGACTGGACGTGTCCCTGAGATGTCACTGTACAAAGACAGCTGTACATAGCAGACATTTTTTGTAGAAGATTAGAAATTAAACTGGACGTCAAAAATATATATATACATTAAAATTAATCTACCCTTTCATCTGTACAAAGTGATTTACTAATGTGTGGCTTGTTTTCTCAAGATCGCTACAATTTCTCCGGGGATGGCATCATGTGAAAACACTCTGAATACATTGAGATATGCAAATAGGTATGAAAAATGCTATTTCTTAAAGCTATACTGGCTGTTGATGACTGACATTTGAAATTGTGCTGTTCCATGATGTGTGATTGTTTTATCTACTTGAATAATTCAATGGTAGTTGTGTTTCTTAGTATGATGGAAACCAAATTACTGATCCAGGTTCTCATTTAATTTAAATTGTTACTTTGTACAACCATTACAAAATAGTCTATTAAAACTGCACATATGCCATTATCCAGAGATGGATAATGTGGATTGCAAGGTATGTGGGACATGCTGCTATTAGTTTTGCCCTTGCTTTGAAAGGACCATCTCTTGCATTAGGGATAGTTGGTGTTCATGATTCCCTGGGGTGTTGGCTGAAATATCTTTCTGTGATGTGATTTTTTTTTCCCATCCCTTTGGTGGAATAGTGTGCAGTTGCCAGTGTGTATTACATATACATATAAAATTTCGTGCTTCCCAAATTCAGGCAAACATCTGAGAACTCTAAGTAAAGGCTTAAAAAGGCAGAAGATCCAACAGGCATTATGATCGCTATAGAGAAATTAGCAGCTCCAGAGAGGGATGCATCACTTGAGACCTGTACTGCTCTAAGAAAGTGTTCAACTCTTTCCAGTGAGTGTGAAAGGAGCCCTCACCTGCTGCACTCCTGTGTTTAAAATCTGTGGAGATGGTGTAGTCAGGTCCTGTGTGTCCCTGCAGACCTGGGGCCCCACACTTTGCTGCAAAGGACAAAGGTGGCAGGCACCCTCTGGGCCATCAAAAGCCCTGGCTTTGCCAGAAGAGGCCACCATCTGGGGGTCTTTTTGCCCCAGTGAGAGGTCAGGCAGAACCATAACTGCTTCTTCTTGGCTAGGCACAAAGGCCTGCTAGGAAGGCTTGCTGCCTGCTTCTCTTAATCTCCAAATGTCCCTGTTTGTGGGTTAATGGAGCTAGTAGTAAACCTGCCTGGCTTAGACCAGCCTGTGTCATTTCCTCCCTGAAGAAAAGGAGGCATCTGCTCCTCTGCTTAGTGTAACATGATGCAGGACCTTGCACATTTAAGACTTGTTGGAACTTCTACTCCTTACAAAACTTATGTTGCTGAAGTGACTCCATAAAAAGTCACTATAAAGCATAGCAAATTAAGCTTTACCTCTTTCTAGTGTACTAAATAGTTGTGCTGAAACAGTTTCCTCCCCTTAATATTAAAGTTGTATGTTGTTATGGAGTGTTTACCTGTCACTGTGATGTTGCTTCATGTGTTTTGTATAGTTTTCTACTTTTTTCTAACAAGACATCATTTTCATAATAGTTAGTTTTAGGTGCTGGACACTAGTGTGTGGGCAGTGATAATAGGAGATGAAATAGAATTTACACTTTTGTAGCTGTAGTAATTTGTTATTTTGAAAGGAATCATTTAGTGGAATATTGAATGTAGACCAAATCATATTAACTATACAAACTGAAATCTAGAATTACTCTTCTTTAAACTCTGATGTTATAGTCCCCTGCAAATTAGCAGCACTGGTTTTGTTCAGTTTGGTTAGTGATCTGAACTGTTTGCAGAGAATTTAAATGTGTTGAAACACTTGTGTTATAAAAATAATTTTGTAGTTAACTTATTAAAGAAGTATGCTAAACAAAGAGTTGTCATTTTAACTGTGTTTATGAGAACATTTTCTTTTAATTTGCCACTGTATTTTGCTGCTGCAGAGTAAAGGAATTTGGAATTAGTCCTTCGGACATTCCCTTCTCACAGGGTAGTGGCAGTCGCTCTGATCTCTCTCCTTCCTATGAGTATGACGACTTTTCTCCTTCAAACACCAGGTCTACTTCATTCTATACATGGAACTTTATTTTTAAGTTTTCTTTTTGGCTATGTAATTTTACAGACCAACCTTTCATTAGTCCCCTTGCCTTGAGTCACACATACTTTGTTTTTATTTTGGTTTGGCAGGTGATGGTTCTGCATGATATGCAATCATCTTCCCAGTATTTTGTTTACCCTCCTTAAACATCCACATTCTGTATCCAGGCTTGCTAGTTTCCTTCATACATTTAAAAAAAATAGAAATGGTGATGTCATCTTTGTACATTTAGTGGACCAAATCTAACAATTCTGTACTTAGGGTAATTTGAATATCTTGGAAAGAGAAAATTTTCTTAAATATATATATATTTATATAAATATATGCTATTAAAGCATTTCAGCACTCTGAAAATGAAAAATATTTTTCATTGTAGTAAATAAGTGCTACTTGACAGAACATTTTTCCCATTAAAAATATTAAGAATATGTTCTAAAACTTGCTTTCAGACTTTCATGCATCTTTCATAAATTTGCTAAACAGGCTTTTTTTTCCCAGAATCATGATCAATCTTTAAACTACTCACATGCTGAAAGAGCCTACTATTTTATTAAAATATTTTCACCTTTGAAGTTGAAAGGCTCTATTTATTGTCTGAAATATTTGGTTGCAAGTTAGTATTTTCTTCACAATTTCTTGGTTGATTTGCTTCTAACAGCTAGTGCAGGGCTGATTGACTAACTTTTTAAAAGCGAAACTGTGTATGCAGGAAAAGAAAGATTGTCAGATCTAGGGTGCTAAATGACCTTTTATTTGAAATATCACACACTGTTGAACAGTTAATGTTGAGGGGTTTGAAATTTTTGCCCTCCTAACTGTTAACAAGTGGTAAGATTTCAATCAGAACATACTTCTTGCTAGATTTACTTTATTCCACATGCAAGTAGTAAAAAGGTCCATGCCTTTTAGGAGCTGGACTAATATCTTTTTGTCACTGAAAGTACATTGAATTTGTGAAGCTGACATCATCAACTTCCTTATTAAATGAATTGATTGCGATAAACCCATAGAGCTTTATTTTTGGTTGTGACTCTTTTGCACAGGAGGTTACTAATTTTCAAATTAAACATTTTCTGCCCATAGGGTGAAGGAGCTGACAGTTGATCCTAGTGCCACAGGAGATATCCGTTCCGTTATACACCATGCTCCCAATCAGATGGATGACCTGGAGACACAGTGGGGTGTGGGAAGCTCTCCTCAGAGAGATGATCTCAAACTGCTGTGTGAGCAAAACGTGAGTGGTTTACAGAATTACATGGAAAGAGATGATGACATACAGTGGGCAGAACAAATCCAGATGAATAGCCTGTTAGTAAGATCTTAAATACATACAGCATAGCTCTTCATCTTTTCTCTTTATGGTATTATGCTCATTTCCATACAAAAGAAAAGCCAAACCCAAGAATTTTTCTTGAAGTGTTTTATCTTCCTTGCTGATTGGTGCTTTTAGTGTCTAGGCAGGCTGTGGTGATGATCTACAAGTATGCATTTTTATCTCGATAGTATCACATTTTTTTAGGCAGTGGGAAATATCCTAAAACTCATCTGTTTTATTTAACACCCTTTGTGGTTTTGAACATTATTTTCCCTGCATGTAAACCCCATTTCAATTGAGTTTACCTTTCCCTGCATGTAGAAATCTGGCTACCCATGATTCCTCCTCCTAGCATCCTGGTTTTCCTAGGGTGAAACCCCAGTACACTGTTTGGGAAGACAACCACATGATGTTCCCAGTATGTGTCCCTGGGCTGGAGGACTAGGGAGCTGAGAGATGTCTTCTAGAGGTCATTCTCTCTCATTGTTGATGATCAGCTTTAGTCCTGGTCCTTAAATATTCACAAGGAGTTAAAACTCTGTTTGTGAAAATGCCTATGAAAAATAGAAAGGAAAAATCCTTACAATCCTAACATTTTTCACAAGACTTTCAGTCTTGGCAAACATCTCTTTGTGCTATCTGCACTGTATTTCACTTTAGTAAACAATTTTTTTTCCCAGGTAATGATTCCTAGAGCTTCCCATTGGATGTTCCTTCCAGCCAGATATCCTATCATGTCTGTTGTTCATTGCTCATGTTAAATGAATTTAAGCCTTACTTAATGTTTTAAAAAATATGTCTAAGGAGCTACATTGTCTTGCTAAACATTAATTACAGCCTACAGTATTTTCCTCTTCTATTGTTGACTATTCATTTCTAAAGAAGCCTTCTTTGTCCCAGTTTGTAAATCCATGGGTGCATTCTTCTAATTTATCAATCACTATGTACATTTTAGATTTCTCCCTTCACATTTATTTAACTTCTTTTTTCCAAAAGTTTAATTTAATTTTGATTTCCTGGAACGTTTTGAATGTAATTGCTGTTCTCTTTTTTTTGAATTTTTTTTCCTGTCTGTTGCAGCATGCCCAACAAAAAGCCCTGACAGAAACCCAAAGTTTTCTGTGGGCATTAAAAATTATTTATTTATTATTATTATTTATTATTTATTTTATTTATATCTATTAGGAATTGTAATTCTTCCCTTGAGACTTCTGATTATTTTAACTTGTTATTTTTATGTGGAATATTCTGATTTCCAGTATTTGCTAGGATTAATGACTGGAAATTTTTGGTGAATATTAATTAAATTTAACTCTGTAAATATTTTTAATTTATTGCCCCTTCTATTAATTCCTGAACATTTCTTAATATTTCTTAGAAGTATTAAATTCTATTTTTCACAGGTTTTGCCTTCTGCATTTTTTTTTCCATGTTTTGGAAATTGAACATTTTTCTGTAGCCACAGTTCTTTTCAGGCTAACAAGGTTAACTATTGTTTTAGGAAGAAGAAGTTTCTCCACAGTTGTTTAGTTTCCATGAAGCTGTGTCTCAAATGGTAGAAATGGAAGAGCAAGTAGTAGAAGACCACAGGACTGTCTTCCAGGTAAAAAATGGAGCTCCACTTTGTTTTATCCTAATTCAGGAATTCAGGTTTTCCCAATGAAAGTGCATACTCTTGAAGATGGAGGAGCATTTGACCTGTAGCCATTCTGTCTGTCCAAAATTCCGAAACTGATTTATTATGTTCTGCTGATTGTATCAAACAAATAGGAATAGATTACAGTCTAGGATCTTAGTTCTGATTATTAAAGTGAAGTACATTTCTCTGTCACTCCAGAAATATAGTAAAATTTTCTTTTGCTGGGCTGGTAATTAATAGTTACATCTCTGTCAGCACAATTTCTGTTTGGTCATCTCCCTCCAAATATTTTGCCTGAATCTCCGTATCCTTTTGTGACATCCTCTGATATCCAGAATACACACGTATTTCAAACTGCCTGTTTGCTTCCATGTTACAGCTATGTGAAGATTTCACTCAGTGTTAGTCAGGGCTTTTGGAAGGAATACTGTCCATGCAATTCTGGTCAGTGCTATGGAACCTTTTACACTCACAAAATCGTGGCAATATGAATTATTTGTTATCAGAAGGAAATGTGGATTGCTTGTGTTCATAACCTTAAAGCCTTTAGGCAAACCGTCTGGCACACCTGTTCCTAGAGAACAGCAGACCATCAAACCTGTAGGGAATACACATTATCTCCTCAGATTAGGTGTCTAGCTTAGTAGAATATTGATGTGTGTTCATAATAAAGCAAGACGCTGAATAAAACATCTTACAGTGGATGTAGAGATCTTGTTATTATGGAGCATTAGCCAGAAGTGTGAAAGTCGTGCCATATGCTGTGGCTATGTTCTAATGTGGCTTCTGGAGAGACAGGCTTCATTAGTTTAAGATGTAATTGCCTCTTCGTGTCTATCTGGCCTTTTGCTGGAGATTACTGCTCCTTCTGGCAGTCCCTGCGAGGAAATGTGTCCAAGCCTCAGGTCCCTTCCTTCATGGCATGGCTTGTGAGTTTACGCTGTGTATGTAGGTGGGCTGCACCAATACAAAATCCAACAGCTGTACCAGTCATCTTCTGTCAGCGTTCTCCTGAAAGCTGCTGATACACAGCATCCTTTCCTAACAAAAATGGCTAAAATACATCAATGCAACTAACTTTGCATGTTCAGGAGTCTTTGTCTTCAATGTACAAGGTTATGAGATGAGATGAATCTTACCCTAGTGTAAGTTCCGTCTCTCCTGAAAGCCAAAAAACAGGCAAGGGGTTTGAACTACATTTTCAGTTTTGCTTGGGCTATGGAGCACAGAGGGAAAGACTTCATCTTAGTATGTCATCATCCTAGAAGTGTCAGCTGCTTTCTTTTCTTTAAACCAAAGCATTTCCAATGGCCTCAGTTCTTCGATCACAATGTTACATGGTTATGTAACATTTAAACTCCTAGCATTCTTCTTTGCTACAAGCCTTTTTTCCCTCTAATTCTTTGTAATGTTCAGAGTGCAAAGATGAGCTTCTTTAACCAGCCTTTATTGTATTTCTGTGTGTGGATTTAGATCATATAATAGTGAGTTTAAAATAGGTATCCTTTTATACGGCTTCTCTCAAAACAGGGCTAAATTATCTTGGCTCTTGGAATGTAATATTGGCTGTGTGATTATATAGTGGTAAGCAGCCCATACTTAAAGCCTGACTTTAAAGTTTGACTCTTGTCTAAGGGGACACAAATATGACAAAGATCTGTTCCCTAAATTTCTCAGCTTTACAAACATCTAATGTTCTGAATCTGAAGAGAACTGGGTAGCTGGGGTGATGTGACCACTGAAATTAAAAAATAATGTAGAAAAAATGCAGTTTTGCTGAATTAGGAATAAAGTTTCATTTTTGGATTGCAGTCTGTTTTATTGAGGTGACTAGACAGTAAAATTTGTGGTCATTGTGCAAAAAGGTCTTAATAAGCTCTTTGTCTTGACACTTTGCTGATGTATTTTTGAACTTTTATCTAGGAATCTATTAGATGGTTGGAAGTTGAAAAACTGCTTCTTGAGATGACTGAAGAAGTAGACTATGATGTGGATTCTTATGCTACCCAACTTGAAGCAATTCTAGAGCAAAAAATTGATATTCTGACCGAACTTAGAGGTAAGTTGCTTTTAATAATTTCTCTGTGCATTATTAGCATATCCATGGAGACTTGCAGTAAAAACAGGGAGGAAGAAAAAAGTAGTTATATTCTAGAGTCTTTTTTCCCCGTCTTATGCTGGCCTTCAGTGGAAGGAACATTTATTCTGCAGTCTAGGAAAAAGTTCACATCTATGATCTGTTCATCCTAACATAAAGGAAGAGTCTATGTTTTACCTTGAGGAAGTACAAATTCAGTCTTGCAACTTTTCTTTTTTTCCAAAACACTAAAGGAAGGTATGAAAATCCAAACCAACTGTATGAAAAAGAACAGAATGCTATGCTATGAGGAAAAAGTAGTAGGAACTGCCAGTCCCTGCTATTGTGTTATGTAGTGTAGCAGGGAGCCTGCTGCCATTTTTAAGACTGTGTTCAAGAGTGCCATCAAGCTCTGAGTATTTTAGTTGTTAGTTTACTTTTATTTTCAACAGCCTTTGTTTGAATTTTGTCAGCCTGTCTTTGCTGAAAAACAAACTGCAGCTAATTCTTAGTGCTCAAAATTAACTCTTCCACTTGTCTTCTAAAATCAACATGTCAGTTGGGTACATCCTGGAGATAAATTTTCCTTTTCATGTTTTTGTTAACTCTTTAGATTCCAGGAGACATACTACTATGCTGGCAGAAGCTCAAGGGTGGGTTTGGGGGCTGATGGAAAAGTTTTCTTGATCTATGTTAAAAAACTTAAGTAAGTTAAAATCTCACTTTTTACTCAGTCCAACTATCTGCTCGTAATACAACAAGCAGATAAGATGTGGCCTGCTTGCCTCCTGAGCATGCCAGTTACACTTTTGCTAGGAGTTGGAGTTTCCTTTAGTTTTATGGACGATGGCTTTCTCTTCAGAAAATGCAAATTTGATACACCGGCAGTGAAAAAATGCAGTTTAGGTGACTACTTGTTCTTCAAAAACTTAGCAGATACTGATAGTGTTTTTGAAAAGGCTACTGGACATAAAATGCTGAGACCTTGGATCCTTACAGCAACCTTAATACAACTGTAGTTTTACAGGAGGTAGCACATACAAAGTCAAAAATGCTGTCTTCCTATCGTCTGTATTCTGCTCATGGCTGCCAATAGTCAGCCTTTACTGCTATCACTTTGGGACTGGCATATTTTTGCCATCATTTTGGTCTCCTTCTCCCTGTTCCTGGGGAATGGAAGGGACAGGAGTAGAAAAAATGAGGATGCCACACTTCCTTCATTAGATTTCTCCCATTCTTACTGAATTACAATGAAACCAGTGAACAATGCATTTAACCATTTACAGTGAGTAAGTTCCAAAACTTACTCACAAATATTTTTCACATTCATTTTCACATTTCATCAAGAAAACAGAGGGGGCTAGTTTACTCTTCTGAGTTTTAGAATGTACAGAAATAGCAGACTGTACACTAAATATGATTATGTATGTCCCTAAGAGTGGTTTGGAAGGTGGTGGGAAGGAAAAGGATATAGGTGGCATGTATCTCCCCAGACTCTCTAAGACAGAAGTAGAATGGAAGTGTGAACCGTTTACATGTTGGGAATACAGTTGTGCAGTTTGCAAACCTATCCTGCCTAGAGACAGAAGTATCCAAGAAGAGACTAAGTTGCTAAGTAACTTGTTTGTATAGTTTTGGATACAACTTTAGCTCAATCCTCTTGTAGCTTGTAGTGTCAGCTATTTTTGTGGAGGAATGTTCTTTCTAATTTGTTAGGGCTGGCATGTGGAAAATTGGGGCTTAGTTTCAAGATCTGTTCAGCACAGGCACATCAGTACTCATTCTTTTGTTTTTTCCTTAAAGACAAAGTGAAATCTTTCCGGGCAGCTCTGCAAGAAGAAGAACAGGCCAGTAAACAGATCAACCCGAAAAGACCACGTGCCCTTTGAAAAGGGCCTCTGCTGCGGAAGGAATTCACGAACCTGTACTGCTGTAGCACACATTTGTTACAAAACCTAGTGACCGAGAGAACTCAACTACTTGAAAGTGTAATAATGTTAGAAATGTTTGTGGAAATGTCCTGTTTCTTATTCACCTGAATGACATTTTCAGTTTTATGTGAAATGCTCCTATGATGTCTAACAAAATGCTTCTAGACCAGACAGCACAACCATGCAGGGTTCAGATCTGTGAAGCACTTTGTTTTAAATATTTCATTTATTCAAATAGTGAAATGTTTGGAAATACTTGCCATATTTTTCATGAAACTGTGGCCATTAAAAAGTCACAGCACTTCCTTCTGACCATGTTCAGTTTTATGACAAAGACCAGCTGTGCAGTTTAAAATTGTGGCGTGCATGCACACCTCACTAGTGGTTTTACGTAACTTCTCTTCCACAGACAGCTGTGCTTAACTCTTCCAATTCTGTGCCTTGATGAAGGCTACTTAACCCTAAACATCCTCTTTCTGAAGCACAGCCTTAAAAAAATACATTCCTTATTTGTCAATATAAATTACTTTAGTGTGTGTACATTCTTGATGTGCTTTAAGAAGACTTATTTTTTGGTGGCTAGTTTCATTTCACAGGATGTGCCATATCATTTTAAAGAGGAACTGCAAGCTGTTAAGAGTGGACAAACAGCTGGACATTCCATTTTTCTTACAAAAATCTGGAATCTTGTTTTGTTTGAATACCATAAAGAATGGTTATATAATTCTAACATTTTATCTGTAACAATTTAAAAAAAAACCAAAAAAAACAACAAATCAACAAAAACCCACAAAAATATAAACTAGTTGATGTATATCAAAGGGTAATGTTTTAAGTACTGAGGAGAGTTGTATCTTAGGATAATGCAGATAATATGATATGTGGTATGGTGTGATAATGCTATGTATGGATAAGTTAACTATCAAACTTTGGGGATAAATATGTCCATACTGGCCTTTCACATACTGTTTTAAAAGCTTGGATTTTGATGCATGACAAAGTTACATGTACATTAACTGTAGTTTTGCAGGTAGCTTGAGTAGTTCTGTTGCTTTAAGAAGTAGCTAATACCTATTTTTCCCTTTGTACAGTGCCAGCAGCTGAAAAGTGGGGTGAAATTGCATCATTTGACGATTTTGCACAATACCTCTACCTAGTGCTAATAGAAATCCCACAAGTACCTGAATTCTCACAAATGGCGCCATGTGTATCAGCACTTTTTAGGTGGTGGCACTCAAGTTATTTTTGCAATTCAGTGTCCCAAAAAGATTGACCTGTCATTTAAGAACTTGTTGTCAAATGAAGAACTGCAGACCTCTATAGGAGTTCTCCCCCTTTCCAGGAGTTTGTGTCAGCAGACTTTCCCTTGGAAATGTTTAACAGTGTACTTTAGCAACAAAAGCCTGTTTGTTCGTGTCAGGCCTGGTGGGGGGAAATATGGGGAAGGCAATGAAAAGACTTAAAATGAGCCAGAATTTCTTGTAGTGTTTAATGTTTTTATCTCCCATAGAAAGGTAGGCTATGGGAAGCTCTTGTTGCATCATGGTTACAAATAAAAAATCTTCCTGTGTGTAAACATGAAAACTGAAACAATGTAGATTTTACATAATGTGTTTAATAAATTAAGCTAATAAATGAATTACATCTGAGAATTTGTTATGCTTTGAGAAGGGTTTAAATTTGTAAGCACATCAGTTACGTTTTTGAAAAGGCCTCTGATTTCAAAATTAAGCCAACTCTTCTCTACAAGTTTGTTATATAGAAAGAAGTTTCCCAGACCCCTGTCCTAACTTTAGTTTTGCAGCAGATCTTAAAGAAACATCACACCTATTTCTGAACATTTTTAAGATCATCACCATCACAGCGAAAAGAAAAAAACAGTGGAATAGAAAGCAATAGCTTCTGTTAGCAGGTGAAAGTACAGGTTATTGTATATCACAGGTTTTCTCTGAAGCTGCCCTAGACAATAATTACTTCTTATAAAGCTTCTGAAGACTGAGGCATGCTACAGGATTAACAGCGGCTTCCATACTCTTCGTCCATGCAAACCTAGCACCACAACCAGGCTGTAGCTTACTGCAGGTCCGAAAAGAATACGAAGGACAGTTAGCTTTCAGCACGTTTTTACAAAGCCCTGTAAATTACATGTGTTCTGTCATGTAGCACATGCAATCGGAAATTCTGTCTACTGCGAGTCCTTGTGCCAGAGCCTGCATTAAGTCAAATCTACACTGATACCAAAGCAGTTAGAATCAAGAAAAATTGATAGTGCTGGTTGTGGCACTTGAATTTCTGCAGCCCATTGCCATAATTACATGAACAGGGTTCAAGCAAGCTTATCCTTGATTCCTCTCCAGTAAAACAAAAACATTAAGGAAGTATGACACATCTTCAGCACTTGTTCCTTCTGTGTTAGTCCAACCATATTCCTATTTAATTAACTCATCATTAGGTTCTGCATGAAGTGAAGCAGCACTAGAATTACCAAATTCTTAAAACTGAAATAAATGTGCAAATTGAATTTTTGCAGAATTGAAGCAATTGCTTCAGGATGTCAATACTTCAAGATGCCTGTAAATTTGAGTGCCTATTTCTATACATGCTTCTGAATCAATGACTTTTAAAAAATGGGATGTCAATGGGGCTGCTAGCTGAATTCAAGTCTTGGGACATCTTTTCCAACCTTAACGATTCAATGATGTATACAAAGTTTTTATTAGAGGAGGTTTTGCTAATTTGCATGCATTGCTCTAAATTTCACTGAGGGCTATTTCCTCCCCTAACAGTGGAGTAGTTACCGTAAAAAATAGCTGGTTTAATTTAGTTAACAAAAACCCAACCCTGCTGTCTGTGTTTATGAGTCCTGGCCCATTGGTAGTTTTTTTCCAGTTCCTAAAGTGGAGGAGAAGGTAAAGGCACTTCTGTAAATGATATCAATCCCATAAAGTAAATTCTTTTCTGAGAAACACTGGGATTCTCTCTGAGATGCAGATTACTGACAGGCTTGGAGTACCAGAGGGATGAGAGAGACAGGCATCTCAAATCAAAAGGAAGTGTTTAAATATATTTTAAAACAAACACATAAATGACTGATACAAAAAAAAAAGGAATTACTACGACTTTCTTTTTGTTGTCCAGACCCCTTATGAGTTGTTCTGTTGAGTATCGTGCATGAATGCACGTGAAGCCCACGATCGGAGAACACAGATGTCAATTATCCTCAATCCATGTTTTGGATATATGTAGAAAAACACAGTCATGAGGTAGTCCAGCACCTCACTTTAGCTCTGAAAGAATTTACTGCTTTTAAAATACTGAGCAGCAGCTTCTTGCCTTCTGTATGTGATAAAACCCCATCTAACATTTTGAGTCCAAGCATATATGCCGTGTTCTGTTCATTGCTTTTATGAGGAGCTTGTTGTATTGCACTCACTCTGGCTTGGGTAAAACTTTGGTGAAAAAATACAGCATCTTTCATCTTTCATTCTTCTAGCAGTATCTATGAAAAATGGATGCCTTCTGAGTTGAAGCCATGTAGCAATCTGAAAGAGTGAAATATGTGTATTACAATTCTGGCCATTTAAACTTCAGCTTGAGGCATTTTTAACATGTGCAAAGAAAACAGCATGAAAGCAGTCATCACTGATCAAAAGCAAAGAAAGAACTTTTACAAATCTGAAACCAGAAGTTATTAGCAAATTTGCCATTTTAGAGATGCAGGTTTATTTTCAATGCAGTTCCTTATGTTGGATGCTACCATGTTCATTATGTTTCTTCAGAGAGCATTACCTGTCTTAGTTCTCCAAATGAGAAACAGCTAGGAACTTTCATGTTAAATTATGAGAGGATTCATGATGCCACCATAAGTAAGAGCGGAATACAGACGTCAATTATTCATGTTTAAAATTATGCTATACGTGGCCTTATCCTCAAGGCACAGGAAGGCTGTGTAAGACTCTAGGGAAATTTTAATAACCAATTTACATTATGGCCATTTTAAAAGGAGACACAGAAAGGTCTAGTACACAAAAACCTGAAACACGGATCCTTACCTAGTTGCTCCACAATATTATAAACAGCATTTAAAATATATCAGTAGGCCTTAATTGTTTGCTCATGTTCAGGACTGGAAGCAAGGAGAGTCTGGTACTGAGAGGGAAACTCTACTATTCCTGTGCAACCCAATAATAATCTGTGCTACAGAGGTACAGATGCAGACAGAATTTAAAGAAGCTTAAAAGGAAGGCATAAAGAGAAAAAAAAAAAAAAGAATACCGAATGAAATCATCTATATCCATTGAACGGGCTCGTTTTTCAGAGTAACCTGTATCTTTTAGAACTGTCTGTATTTTCTCTGCAATTTTGAAGTTTTCAGGGATTTCCTGTCAATGAAAAATGAGATAGAAATTATTTTCTACTCATAACCCAGAAAAATGTTCATTTAAATAATCTAATTCTTTCCTGCTCTTAGAACAGTTCTTTATTCAAGTGATAAAGTTATATTTTTTCTACTATGGATTATTTTATTATTCTATTGTATCTGAATTTTTGTATCTCAGTTCATTCATTGTATCTCAATCATTCATTACATATGAATCACAACAGTATTGAAAAGCAGACTAATTATTAAATTAGTAAAAGACCTTCAGACATACATATATGGACAATATTGTAATAACATACTTGATTTTAAGTTTTTCACTATGATTTAATGATCCTTTTAGATTCTCTAAGAAAAAAGGAAGGTTCCTCCCACCTCTAAGCTCTCTTGGAAAACCTTTGATACGTTAAGCTTTTCAATGTTTTCAAAATTTTTTGATTCTTATAAAAAAGTCAGTATGTAGGTCACATACAGAAATAGAATGTAATAGATTAAGAAGGAACTTACTGTATTATGTAAAGAACAATGAATTCGGTAATTATGATCCAGCAACTGCTCTACAGCACTTGATCTGAAAGAAATACATGTTTAGCATAAAAACAGAGATGTAACTATTGTTCACTTGATTGGTTGTTAATGTCTACTACAAAAAGTGTAGAGATTACACAGAACTGTTCTTTTTAAACAGCTGACTAGTTTTCTTCTAACAAAAAAAAGCTTGTGACATCAGTATAAATCTTCCACCATTTACACTTTACACACTGGCTGTGTAAAACTGCTATGCATTTGCACAAAATAAATGGTTAACTGGATAGGCTTTCAAACTTCAAAAAATATTTCCTTTGATAGAAATTACTTACTTAAATGCTGCAGAGAGTGTCTTGTTTTTCCTAACAAAGGCTATCCTTACCAGACCATCCCACTCCTGAAATTAAAAATTTCAGAATTTTACAAAGTGACATAGAAAACTACTAAAAGCTGCTACAAAAAATAACAGTCTACTGGCAACCTCAGAACAATACTGAACACAAAGGAAAATCCTTAATGAAAATATCCTTCTAAACAGCACAAACCCAGCTGTATCTTGGACAAAGCAATATGAATGGAGGAGAAAATAGTTTACTCCCCAAACCCTTTGAAATGTACTTTTTCGTGCCTAGGTGCTATTACGTGCAGAGAAGGCAGATACTTTAAGAAAATCTGGCTAACCTTGGGCATGGCTGAAATGGTCTTGACGTGTTTTAAAATTAAGAATACTCTTCAGTAATTACACACACACACTCATCTGAAGATAAATCTCATACATTCCCTTGATCAAAGCCTGCAAAATCATCAACCAGAAGCATCTCTGGGAGACATAAACGATGATGAAAGGGACATTATTACTAGCAGGTACCCAATTGACCCTGGTCTTATAAGAAATACCGTACACAAAGCTGCACCCTGTTGATGGTGGCATGTTCTGTTAATGTCTTAACACAAGTCTGATCAGCATAGAAATAAGCATTTTGGAAACTCCAATGAATAATTGGTAGTTTGTACTAGAATCTGCACATGGAATTGAGTAGTAAGTGGAAAGAAAAATTAAATTAATTATTATTACTAGCATGTTATGTTGAGTATACTCTGCTCACCTGGAAGTTGATAGGTGGTGGTGGGTTCTTTGGCTCTATTCTGACAACACTGGATTCAACTTTGGGGGGAGGCCTGAAGTTGTTCTTTCCAACCTGTTAGTTAAGAGCAGTCAAGCAGCTGTGTGAATAAGCAGCAAACTTCTCATATCCCTTGCACCACTGTACTTCTGTGTTTGATAGCTGAGTTACCTACATGAAGAATGACGTACCTTCATCAGATGGTCCACTCGAGCCAATAACTGAGTGTTAACAGAGAGTCTGCAGTACAGTTTACTTCCTGGTTTTGCAACCAAACGAAGTGCAAATTCCCTTTGAAACATAAGGATTGCGCACCTGAGAGTAACAGAAATGAGAAAATCAATTCTAAGTAATTAACTTTTATGCCAGAAGACAACTAACACACTTGGAAAACACACAGTCTGCCTTAGTACTTAGAAGAGTAAAAGTTCATAATAAATAACTCTGCCGTAATTAGTTGTTGAAAAAAAGTGTGTTGAAAAAAACCCATCACAGAACTTGGTGAAGCCATCTAAGTCTCCTTAACGCTGTTACATAACTTGATTATTTATACTGCTAAATGGATCAGAGACAGTCAAAGAGACAGTCTAGTCTCAGAGTTGCCTGATTGTAACATAAATAATTTTTAGTACTTCTATGCTGAATCCTTCAAATACAATCTTCCCAAAAATTCACCAGCAATGTTACCAACATTCCTCTGAAAGAAATCAAGAGCTGCTGACATACTGATGTCTGACACACAGACAGGGCAGTTAAATATTTAGATCAGACCAAATGAAAGTGACTTGGCATTGATTCTACCCTTTACAGCCTAACTTAGGTAGGAAGGTAAATGAAATGCACTGAAATGCAATAATGCCCTTCTTATCCCTAGAACAATACTTAGTTGTAATACTAAGGAGGCATAACTCCTGGTTTTATCTGCTGGGTACTCACTGTTGCCAAGTTTAAATTTTCTCCTCATGCTCAATACACCAACATAAACTTAATTTCCAAGCACTACCTATGTCCCTGGAAATAGCTGTGTATTATAGAAAAAATTTCATGCCGCTCTGATCCTTCAAACTGCTATTTTATCAATTAAAAAAATACTGGATTTGAAAATATTTTTAAAACTAAATAGTTTTTAAAATAGTCCTTCCCCCCAGGTAATCCAGAGCTCTATTCTTCCACATACCTGAAAAAAGGTCTATGAAGCAATAACTTGAAAACAAAAGGTGAAGAAATCTGAGGAAAAAATTAATCATGTTAGTATAATTTCTGAGAAATTAGCATTTTTAAATATTTTTTTATGTTGTATGCTATGTTTCTTGGCCCATACCTGGTAAGGCAAGTTAGCCACACATGCATCAAAGAAGGGTAAGTCTGTTTTCAAGATATCTCCAACCTTGATTTCAAGTTTGTTTGCTAGACACCTGGGGAAAAAGATACATTGAGGTTATCCTCATATAAGCAGGTTGCCAAAATTTGCACCAAAGTAGCTCCACTGCTTTAAGCTCTCCCTGTTTCCATAATTTATACTTACGTGCCCTGGACTCTCTTCTGAAGTTCACCAACAAGTCTAGGGTCAATTTCACATGCAATAACCTGGAGAAAAAGTATATATTTGCAACTTCTATGTGAAATTTAATCATAAAAACCCCAACCCTGTTGCTAAAATCCCCATCTGTTGCTATGGGTTTAAAGAATCCTTTAAAAACCCCTATTAGGCTACGCACCTTCCTCCCTCTCTAGATACACACAAGCTTTTATCACATCAATGGAAACAGCAATGCAGTTTGATAAAACAACACAGAATTTACGTGATCAGCTAAAAAAACATTGGGATTATTCAAATAAATAAATAATAAAATATCAATGGAGTAATTCTACTTATGTGCACCATGCCTATGAAGACCCTTCTGTTTGCCATAGTCTAAGCCACAGCATAGTCAGAGCCTGGAAAGGAGATGTACGTGAGAGAATTTGCACTTACTTTTTTGACTTTCTCCAGCATCTTTACTGTCAGATTTCCAGTTCCCGGGCCCACTTCCAGAATAACATCTGTTCGGCGCAGGGCAGCCTAGGGACAAAGAGCATTTTGAGTGCATCCCTAGCATCGATTTCGTGCAATCATTTGACTTTTGAATGAACGTAAGCGCTTTTTACACAGTAAGAAGTTGGAACTGGGTATCAAGGGAGCGTGAGTGTCGTTTAGAAAGGGACGAGTGGGAAACGGGGAGGACAAGAACGTCCTGGCGCTGGTTTGCGCCACATCGCTGGCCACGCGTAAAGAACCAGCGAGCAGCTAAACCAGCGAGCAGCTACGTTAAGAGAAAAACAAACACAAAGGCACACACACAGGTGGCAAAACACACAGAGGCCGATGATGGCACTAGCCGCGGTTCAGCAGCAGGTCCCCCCGCTGCCCGGGGAAGGCCGGAGGCAGAGAGAGGGCCCCGCACGGCCGCGCTTTCCCCGCAGGTCCCGGCCCCGCCGCCGCTCCCACCTTATCGATGATGCTGTTCACCACGAGGGGGTTCTTCAGGATGTGCTGTCCGGCCCCGGTGTTGAAGACGATGCCTAGGGCAGAGACCGGCGTGTTACCGTCAGCAGCTTCGATCCGCCGGCGCCCCGCCGGTCCCCGCTCGGGTGCGAGCGCCGGCCTCCGCTCCTGGGATCCTGCCCACCCGCCCCTGTCCGCTCCGGTCCACACTCACCGCCGGCGCGGCCGTCCCGGCGCTCCGGCCGCTTCCCGGCCCGCGCCTTGGGCATGGCGGCGGCTCCGCTTGGATCCCTTCAGACCCCCTCGGCCCGGTCCGGCTCGGCTCGGCTCGGCCCCTCTCGGTCGGGCTGAGCCCCTCTCGGTCGGGATCGGCCCCGCTCGGCTCGCCCCAGCCCTGTGCCCCACGTGCCGGCGGTACTGCGGCTGGCGAGCCGCCCCACGTGCCGCGCGGGCGGGGCAGCGCCCCCTGGCGGGCAGGCGGACCGCGGCGGCACGACGGGCTCGCTCGTCCCGGGAGCGGCGGGTCCGTCCCGCCCTTCGGGGGATGGGAGCAGCCGTGAGGCCCAAGTGAGCGCGGTCAACAGGCACGACAAAAGTCAGCGGGTCCACAAAAGCTTTCCGCGGTTTATTAGTAAATGACACACGGCGTAAAAATGGGTGTGCTTGACCTAGTCCGTAAGCACACGGTGGGTTTTAGGGTTAATAGGCAGTGTGGTAAGGAAAAGAGAAAATGAGAGATGAATGGAAGAGGGGGAAAGACGAAAGGATGAGAGAGAGATAGAAAGAAAAGAATTAATTAAAAGAATGAAAAAAAGGAGAGAAATAAATAAAAGAAAGAAACAAAGAATTTGCAGGGCGACCCTCATCAATTTCTGCCGATAAGACAAGGCGGCGCTTTAACCCCTGACTACACAAAGTGCCATGTGCTCATGGCCCGGAGTCGCAGTGCCGGTGCAGTCATTCTCATATGTTAAGCACGCTAATAAAGTATACTCTCTTTTTAAGTACTTTCTCTATTTTTCGCTTTACTTTCTCATATATATTTTTATATATATATTCTGACATAAACACCACACATGTCCGTGATGGCCTGCCCCGCGCCGCTACAGCCGCCCAGAACGCCCCCGGAGCACATCAGCCAAGCGCGGCAGAATTCCTCATGGGATCCTGCGCCCATGAGGAACACGAACCCCGCGCAGCTGCCGCCCGACAGACATCACCGTGCTCCGGGGCCCCGCCTCCGCCGCCCCAGGCCCCGCCTCTGCCTCCCCAGGCCCCGCCTCTGCCTCCCCAGGCCCCGCCTCTGCCTCCCCAGGCCCCGCCTCCTTCCGCTCTAGGCCCCGCCTCTGCCTCCCCAGGCCCCGCCTCTGCCTCCCCAGGCCCCGCCTCTGCCTCCCCAGGCCCCGCCTCTGCCTCCCCAGGCCCCGCCTCCTTCCGCTCTAGGCCCCGCCTCCTTCCGTCCCCGGCCCCGCCTCCTGCCGCCTCCTTCCCGCCTCTGCCTCCCCCGCCGCGTCCCGCCTCTGCCGGTGGAGCGGCGCGGGGCAGTGACGTCAGGGCCGCGCGCCGGGGAGGCGGTGGTGCCGCCGCGGCATTTGCTGGTCCCGGTTCGTGGGAGGCCGGGGGGTGGGGGACGGCGAGGCGGGGAAAGGCGCTGGGGGTAAAGGCGCTGGCGGCTTCTAGCGAGACAGCGCTCGGGGCACGCAGCCTTGGGGCTCTGCTGCTGCGGGCGGCGCTGCTGCTCCGCCGGCTGTGCCCCCGTTTGAGGTGCTCGAGCCGACGCGGCACCGGCGTGGAGTGCCCGCCACGGTGCCGGTTCTGGGGCACCGCCCCGGGGTTGAAGCAGAGGGGCCTTCCTTACCTATTGTACTGACAGCGGCAAGGGGCCTGCTCGGAGGTGGAAGGAAATAACTGTTACCTAATTCCAGGGAAGCGGAAGTTTCCCGCTTTCTACTTGAATCCGTTTTGAGTCAGGATAGAATTAATGGAAGGCATGGGAGGAAAGATGAGGCGTTAACTTGACAGAACTTGTTTTTACTGGAAGGGGCCCGTCCTGGCCTTTATTCTAGGTGGTTGTTTTCTTTCTGCAGGCTGAAGAACATCAGATTTTTCTGCAGAGCAGTCTTCCCTTAATCAGAGGCAGGCTCAGTGCAGCAGTGGTGAGTTATTTCTCCAGTTCGTTACCGTAGAAGACAGCAGTGTGTGTGAAGTACGAGAACAAGGCCCGTAGTGCAGTAGTGATGCTGCTTCCCATCAAGTCATCAAGTCCGTAACATATTTGACATGGCTTTTAAATTAGCCCACAGAGCACATCAACAAAATGCTGCTGAATTAAATTATATTTATTGTTTATAAGATACTGCTGAGTGTTTGCAAATAGCATGTTCCTCATGGAGTTTGGTTTCTTGAAACTTCATACAGATTTGTCACTGCATTTTTTTTTTCTTCTCAATCTTTCACTGCACCGTTCTCATGGAAGGCATTTACTATAATGTGTATAAATCATAGAAGTTTTTGTCACCCGTGTTTTACATACAACATTTTGAAACTGTACCGCCCAAAGTGGGATTTAACTGTAGTTTAAATGAAAGGGGTTAAACCTGTTCCAGAGCATGAGGGTTGACTGAAACTTGCATTTCATCTCAGCTGTTTGGCACTAGTTTGTTCTTAAGTGGTCTGTCAGGTCTTTATGAAAATACATTAAATTAGGTAAATTTAGGTAAAGAAGTCAAAGGAATGAGATTGACTTTGTAGTATTGGTCAGTCTAGAAATTTACTATTAAATGTTAAAAATATTCTTACATTATATCCATTTGGCTTTTTCTATATAATCAGTACTGAACCCTGTGGCAGAGTAATTTTTAAGTTAATCCTTGGAATTGTCTCACTTATTTCTTTACTCCCTGTTTCTTCTCTTGGGAATTTTTGGTCACTTTGATGGTTTCAGTTTAATGTGAATTTTTCTCTTCTGAATTTGTAATATAATCTGATTGACTTTCCTTAACATTGTTGCTAGCCTTGCTTGTTGCTGTCCTTTATTACAGTGGACCTCATTGTTCTTAGTTCCTGTATTCTTCATATCTTCTGCATGCTTTTTGCAGACCTTTGCAGACTAGGTTTTAGTTTCAATGTTAAATTCTTGTAAAAATGAAATTTTGGAAATTCTACTCCTGTATTTCTGTCACTAGCAGTATGGAAAAAAAACACTTCTGAATCTTCTCTGCTCAGAGCTTTTCATTTGTCTTCTTTACTATGCCTTAAATTGGGCAAACTATAGATTGTTTGGTTACATAAAGAAAAACTAACAATGTAGGTTTTGAAATATCTTAATAATGCTTAACATTAATCATTGTGTTGGTTTTGGTGATTGCTGTAGTTACTAGTGAGTTTAAGTAGTACTTTCAATAACCAGGATAGTTTTAGTTCTTTTGGGTGCACTCCTCAGTGGGGCTGCTGGCATGTGGCAATGCAAGAAAAGAGATTAATGGAAAAGTTTGTAGAAGGCTGGAGGGACATCAGGGTAACTACCAACATTTCCTGAAGGTGGCAGTATCCTTGCTAATGTATTATGTCCACATGACTGAATGCCAGCATTTGTGTTGCTCATTTCAGGAGTTCTTGTGGCTTCTCAGCATGGGAACTTTGTTTTCCCTGTTTTCATTGAAAAAAATGTGCTGTAAAAGACAGTCCTGAGTTTCTGCTGGAACCTACAGAGCTGCAGGGTGTAGCTTTATAGTTGTTCATTAGTTGCATCATTGGCTGGTAAGAAGCGGCAAATCCTTTTTGTAAACACTCTTCAGGGAGTTAGTTTAAAGTGTCTGCAAAGTCTCCCTTAGGTTCCACTGTCTTAAACAAGTCCTCAAACTCTCCTCACAGATAATTTGCTTTAGACTACAGACTATCCTAGTAGCTCTGGCCTCTCTCCAGCTTGTGCCTTCGTAAACTGAGGAAAGGGAGAACTGTGGGAACCAAACTGGAAATGGTGTCCTAGAAGCCATTGCAGACACTACATAAAGAAGGATAACAACATCCACAGAGCCACTTGTGCTCTTGAAGAAGCCCAGAATGTATTTGCTGAAGAAGTTTTTGGCTTTGTCTTCTTCTGATTTCATAAAATCGTAACTAAATTTATTCTTGCACCTCCTTACAGTGAGAAAGAATTAATTGAACTCTTAACAACAGAGAACAAAAATACACGGAATTAATTGTCTGGATATGAGTGAGTTATTACACTGCATTCTCTCGGAAAAAGTAAAGTAGGGAGGTGTTTAGTGATGAAATCCTTCATGTTGTACCCCTTCAGATGTTTAGCAGTCACTGATTTCATAGCTAATGTGATTTTAATATTAGGATGTATTTTAGTGTGATGGGAAAAGTACCTAGATACCTTTTTGTCTGTATCAGAAGGATTGACTGTTCAGGAGAAACATTAAACTGGTGTGGCTAGTATAAAACTAGAACATTTAAGACACTTGGAACAGTCTTGAAAGTTAAAATGTGTTTGCAGATACTCCCTTAAAAAGGGAATTAAAGAGTAAAGAATAGAGCAGAAATGAGACTTGAATTTTGCCACTTAAAGAAGATGGAGTTTGGAAGCAGGACATTGGATGATAATGTTGAGGAACTGTTACTGTTATTTGTGGTCTCTGAAGATATTAACTCATTGTGCTAAAAGATGGCATTTGATGTGTTGTTTTTTTTTCTAGGTGTAACTGCGCTTGCTTTCTTCCTGACAGCTGAATGCCATTGTCAAGTTCAGTACTGTCATATCCAGAGGGATCTTGGAGAGCAGATTTTCCTTGTGGGGTGAGGATAGTCTTTTTTTCCTTTTGCAAGACAGAATTCTGGCATTGGTATTAGGAGTCATGCTTGGGTTTGCTGCTGCCGTTCAATGATGGCATTGAACACTTTCTAGTGAAAAGGGATTTCCTTTCCTTCTTCCAAAATGTTTGTGTACAGTTTGGTTGTTATAGCCGTGGGTGTGGACCACAGAAAAGCAGGAGAAAGCAACAAACATTCCTGATGCTGCTCAGTGTTTATTGTGAGGACACAGACTGACAGTAAGAAGGAAAGGGAAATTGCACCCTTGCTCAGTAGTCAAACCTGGAAATTCTGGCTATTGTGACACAAATGCAGACCTTGCCTTCCTTCTAAGAATATGTTGCTTATAAGATTAACAGACTCTGCCAAAATTTCTATATGTGCCTCATGTCTCTGAAAGTACCCAAAAGACAGTAGCTGTTTAATACTCACCTCCTAGTGACTAAAGCTGTAGAAGTCCCATGAAATATGGAGAAAGTCCTCGTC